CATATCATTTCACTGGAGATGGTGACACCACCCATGATGAAGATTTGTTTTGGTGAGGTCAATGTCTTGTGAAATAGTTATTTCATCCTCCAAAGGCTTGGGGAATAGCTATTCTGTGATTCAATTTCTCCCATGCCTTTCAGTTTGATCCACAGTCTTCTTTGGGTCTGTGATGTTGTTGATGGTACCCCATTTTGGTGTCCTAAAAGGAAATCCACATCACTATTTGGGGGGGGGGGCTGAAAAAAAAAGACAGGCAAATTTGAGCGCGGGTAAAACACATCCTAGTGGTTGGATTTTGACCCATACCCATTGTTGTCAGATCTTTTTCGGCCTTTGAACCACTGTCGGGGGGAGGCATTTTTGGGGAGCCGCTTTCAGCGATTGAGGCCTTGCTGGAGGCAGTGCTCTGGGCACGGAACTGGGCCACCGAGCGGCGCAGCACTGCCCGGGACTTCAGAACCAACGAGGGATGTGGTGGAAGGGATGTAGGCGGATTTTTCGGGGCAAGATTTACCCTCACTCCTATGTTGCCATGGCACCTGACAGGAGGTGTCTACAAGAGGAAAATGGTCTTCCAGGGGGTAGAATTGATTTCCTTGCTTTCCTAGCCCATGGGGAAAGCTCGGGGTCTTACCTGGGTACCCTCAAAATGGTGGGTGGCCCTTTAGTTTTCCTTTAAAACCTCGAAACGGACACTCGCCTCAACTAGTTAATGTTGACCCCGAATGAATAAACCGGCTTTAAGAAGCGGGGGTTGACCCCGAAAGTCGTCTAAATCCCCCCCTAAAAAGGGGAACCCGTACTGGGTGTGTGTTGTTTTTTGAGGGAAACCAAAGGCCGGAAACGAAGCATTTTGAGGGGTCTGGAGAGGTGGTTTCGTATTTCTTGCTAGGTTCATGCAACTGGTGTACCTCCACCAAAGTGGGGTCCCAGCGCAACCCAGTTGTTCACCATAGGCTGGCCCAAGCAACCTACCAGAGGGTGGGCCGTGCAAGCCGATCGCTCGGGGCGCCATGGACACGGGTGTGCGATGATCTACAGGGCAGGTGCACCGTGGTGTAGGTTTTGCTTCGAGATGGAGATGCATGTCTGCTGGATCGTCGTGTGGTGGTTCATGGTCCTAGTCTTTCATGCACAGAGCAGTGTGCACGCAAGGTGCCGTGAGTGCAGCGAACATCCTGCAATACATTTCTGTAATTTTGGAGCGTTGCACGTACGCGGGCATCAGTCTGGTTTCCATTGCCGTGGGCTCTTGACAGTCTCTGCGTGCTTTTCTTTGCCTCTACCAAGAGGAGAAGAGGAGGCTACACTTGACTATGCTTGTCTTAGCCCCGCGCGCGCCAGCTCCTTTGCGCCTTCCCTCACATGCAGGGGCGAAGGGTGGTCAGGGAAGCGTCGCCGAGCAAGAGTTTGGTTTGTGGAGAGTTTGGAACTTTTCTGTGTGTTCCTGGAACTTGTAGGTGATATGCAAGTTTCTTGGAGCGGAGCAAAAAACTGCTTTCTCCCCGTGGTGCTTATGCGGCCGCAGCGTGGTTGCCTCAGCGCCGGGCTTCCTCTTCCTGTTCTTCTGGGGCCTTGAACTTGGACAGGGGCGACGGGCCGTCAGTTTTTGCTTGAGCCAGCGGTTTGGGAGCTGGTGTTACGGACTCAAGGGGTTACCGGCATTCATGGCATCTGGTGCGTTTACGGCAAAACTTATGGGCGCTCTCGCGTTGCTCTTTTCTCCAAATTCACCTTGCGGCGTTCCAACCGCGAAGCTGGACACCTAAGGAGAGCGCTAATTATGCGCCCGTGGTTCACCTTGCGGCGCCCCAGCCGCGCAACGCGGTTGGTGCTCTGTTCTGGGCCACCCATACGGCGCCGATGCGCTTGCTTTGCATATCTCCGGTTGCCTTGCGGCGCCCCAGCCACACAATGTGGTTGGTGCTCTGTTCTTGGGCCTCGGGCATCACTGCCCCTTCCGCCGAGAGGCCGATCGCACGCGACATGTCGGAAAAGTCTGGAAAAATTGCTCACCGTATAAGTTGCGTTTTGTTGGCGCGCAGGACCACTCACTGAATCTCGCCTTCGGCAAAAGACTCGAAAATGCGGGGACCCTTTCAACGCAAGAGAGGAAAATCACCTGCAAAGAAGTCAAACCTTGAAGGTTCGTAGGGGGCTATGCTTTGTAGGGGCACCAAGGACCAACCACTACTGCGTTCCTTGGAAACAACCCAAAAAAGAGTGCACACCCACCTTTTCGTTCTTTGGCACTGGGTCAACGTGCTTGACCACGAATTGATTATGGCACAGGTTCACATCCAGATTCGTCGGTGGGGGGCATTGGGTGAGGTGGCTTTGACGGTGTCGTGGTTTTGGGCCAGTAGCCCAAGGGCTTGTTTGAAGAGCCAATCACCAAAGACCAAGTACCGTTTGGCCTCTGAAGTTACAATCTTGGATGGCCAGAAATAGTGCACCAACGCATCGCGAGGCATGCCGGTGTGTAGCAGCCCACGTGGGAGTCTGACGCTAAACTTTTCAAGAATCACAGAACGCCCTTCCCCTGCTTGGTGAGAGCAACAAGCAAGAGCTGACACAAAAAGCGCGTTCAACATATTATGTTCGCGTCATGGGAGATGTGAGGAGAGCAAGCATGTTATTCAGACTGCTAGTTAGAGTGCGCTACAATCATAAAGCGTATTCAGACGCTATCATGATTGGCATATGTATGTGTGTACAATGTATTTGCACACACACACACATTGGTGTCTCAAGGCATAAGTGTGTATCTGTTAAACAAACAACAGAAAGGCGGGCATGTAAACATACGTGTACATCTGAAGCTGTTGGCATGTATAGGCATGAAGCTGTGGATGGCACGGTTTCTGGTGTTGCCAGCAGGCGTATCGCAAAGTCCCGAAGAGGTGGGCCATGGGCAACCCATGCTGATCTTTGTGGTCCTTCGATTCAAGGGCAAACCTCGTATGTTGCCCTCCGCAAACTGGCGGTCTAGGTTGGCTTGGAGGTCAGGGGCGGTTTCTCATCTAGGAGGGCGTGTTAGCCACCAATGACCTCTCTCGCCACGTTGCCATGAGTTTGATTTTCCAGGTACCCTCCCGCAGGTGCCATGCTTTGGCTAGCTAAAGGGTAGGGGGTGCCAAACATTTGGCGCTTGCATCAAGGCTCCTGCACGCACTCGGGAGCGCCTGCTGCAACAGACCTTGGCCCTGCTGTCTTGCTGCAGCCCGCGCCTGAGGTGTTAAGCACAAGCCATTTTCAGCTGGGGTGTGTTTGGTTGTTGCTTAGCAGCACCTTAGAATGATGAATGGTATTTTTCAGAATGGGTCACAGCCAGTTGAAAACCTAGATCGAAGGAAAAATAAAGTGTAGGTGTCTTGTTTTGAGTTGTGCAATTCTTTTTCTTGTAACAGGACAACCTGACTGCAATCTTTTTGCACAAGCTCACGATTGCTCCAAGTTGTTCAGTTCTCAAAGGGAAACAAGGCATGGCTCAGAATGGGTCAAAGGAAGGCGCCGAGAGACTAACCGCCTGGCAACCTTTGATTTCTCCACACATGTGCCTTGATTGTTTAATGGTGATACAGAAAAGTTATGTTCAGTTAGGTGGTAGTATTTAAATACATGAGCTTGTTTATAGAAAGATCTAATTTATACGATTGCCGAGATATTGAGGGGCTTTGACGTTCACTGTCACTGAACAGGCCTTTGCAAGGAAACGTATTGCGACGTTATTTTTTCATTTGGCGTACGCGCTCAGCTGCCCAAATCTGTGTGCGTGTGTGTGTGTGTGCATGAGCGCGTGCGTGAGTGTGTGAGTTTGTGAGTCTCCGAGTCTCTGCGTTTGTGAGTCTGTGAGTCTGTTGAGCGAGTGAGTGAGTGAGTGAGTGAGTGAGTGAGTGAGTGAATGAGTGAGTGAGTGAGTGAGTGAGTGAGTGCGTGGGCGTGCGGGCGGACGGGCGGGTGGGCGGGCGGGCGGGCGAGCGAGCGAGGGAGGGAGGGAGGGAGGGAGTGTGTGTGTGTGTTGGTGTGTGTTGGTGTGTGTGTGTGTTTGCGTGTGTGGTTGCGTGTTTGCGGGTGTGCGTGTTTGTGTGTGTGTGTGTTACGTGTTTGGGTGTTTGAATGTTTGCCTGTTTGCCTGTTTCTGTGTTTGCCTGTTTGTGTGTTTGTATGTTTGTGTGTTTGTGTTTGTTCCCGAAAGCATCGCGAAGGGTTCTTTGGAAAAACGGTTGCCGACTACACAGCTGACTTACTCAAACTGACTTACGCAGCCTGACTTACACATCCTGACTTACTGACTTACGCAGCCTGACTTACACAGCCTGACTTACACAGCCTGACTTACACAGCCTGACTGACGCAGCCTGACGGACGCAGCCTGACTGACACAGCCTGACTGACGCAGCCTGACTGCTGCAGCCTGACTTACGCAGCGTAGCTTTCGCAGCCTGACTTACGCAGCCTAGCTTACGCAGCCTGACTTACACAGCCTAGCTTACGCAGCTTTACTGACCCAGCCGAAGCTCGCAGCCTTTAAATTCTATCTTCTTTCTTAGCCGGGGGTGGGTCTGGCGGGCGCTGGGGGGATGAACCCTCTGCGGGGATCGTGCGTGTCGGAGCGCTCTCGCTGTGGTGCCGTGCGAAATTCAAAGCTCGCGGAGGAACCCTCTGCGGAGATTGTGCGTGTCGGAGCGCTCTCGCTGTGGCGCCGTGCAAATTTCAAAGCTCGCGGAGGAACTCTCTGCGGAGATTGTGCGTGTCGGAGCGCTCTCGCTGTGGCGCCGTGCGAATTTTTTACGTGGCCCGCGAACCCTCTGCGGAGATTGTGCGTGTCGGAGCGCTCTCGCTGTGGCGCCGTGCAAATTTCAAAGCTCGCGGAGGAACCCTCTGCGGAGATTGTGCGTGTCGGAGCGCTCTCGCTGAGGGCGCCGTGCGAATTTCAAGGCTCGCGGAGGAACCCTCTGCGGAGATTGTGCGTGTCGGAGCGCTCTCGCTGTGGCGCCGTGCGAATTTCAAGGCTCGCGGAGGAACCCTCTGCGGAGATTGTTCGTGTCGGAGCGCCGTGCGAATTTTTTTACGTGGCCCGCGAACCCTCTGCGGAGATTGTGCGTGTCGGTGTGGCGCCGTGCGAATTTCAAAGCTTGTCGACGAACCCTCTGCGGAGATTGTGCGTGTCGAATCGCTCTCGCTGTGGCGCCGTGCGAATTTCAAAGCTCTGCGGCGAACCCTCTGCGGAGATTGTGCGTGTCAAATCGCTCTCGCTGTGGCGCCATGCGAATTTCAAAGCTCGTCGACGAACCCTCTGCGGACATTGTGCGTGTCGAATTGCTCTCGCTGTGGCGCCGTGCGACTTTCAAAGCTCTCCGACGAACCCTATGCGGAGATTGCGCGTGTCGGATCGCTCTCGCTGTGGTTTTTGCAAAATTTAAGTACAAAAGTAGTACGCGAAGCACGCTCCCGCAGCTCCGGCCTGAGAATCGCAAGTTTTAAGTAGAAAAGTAGTATGCAAAGTACGCTCCCGCATCTCCGGCCTGAGAATCGCAAATTGTAAGTAGAAAAGTAGTACGCGAAGTACACTCCCGCAACTCCGGCTTGCAAAAAAGGGAGAGAAAGAGACAGAAGGAGAAAGAGAAGGAGAGAAAGAGACAGAAGGAGAAAGAGAAAGAGAAGACACAAACCGAAAGAAAAAGAGAAAGAGAAAGAGAGAGAGGGAGAGAGAGAGAGAGAGAGAGAGAGAGAGCGAGAGAAGGAGAGAACAAGAGAAAGAGAAAGAATGAGAGAGAGAGAGAGAAAGAGAAAGAGAAAGAGAAAGAGAAAGAAAAGAGAAAGAGAGAGAGAGAGAGAGCGAGAGAAAGAGAGAGCAAGAGAAAGATAAAGAAAGAGAAAGAGAGAGAGAGAAAGAGAAAGAGAAAGAGAAGGAGAAAGAGGAAGAGGAAGAGGAAGAGAAAAAGAAAGAAAGATAGAAAGAAAGAGAAAGAGAAAGAGAAAGAGAAAAAAGGAAAGAAAGAAAGACAGAAAGAGAGAGAGAGAGACAGAGAGAAAGAGAAAGAGAAAGAGAAAGATAAACAGAAAGAGAATGAGAAAGAGAAAGAGAAAGAGAAAGAGAAAGAGAAAAAGAAAGAGAGACAGAGAGAGAGAGAGATAAAGAGAAAGAGACAGAGAGAGAGAGAGAGGGAAAGAGAAAGTGAACGAGAAAGAGAAAGAGACAAACCGAAAGAAAAAGAGAAAGAGAAAGAGAGAGAGAGAGAGAGACAGAGAGAAAGAGAAAGAAAAAGAGAAAGAGAAAGACAAAGAAAAAGAGACAGAGAAAGAGAAAGAGAAAGAGAAAGAGAGAGAGAGATATAAAGAGAAAGAGAGAGAGAGAGAGAGAGAGAGAGAGAGAGAGAGAGAGAGAGACAGAGAAAGAGAAAGAGAGGCAGAGAAAGAGAGAGAGAGAGACAGAGAGAGAGAGAGAGATAGAGAGAGAGAGAGAGCGAGATAAGGAGAGAACAAGAGAAAGAGAAAGAGAAAGAGAAAGGGGAAGAGAAAGAGAAAGAGAGGGGGAGAGAGAGAGAGAGATAGAGAGCGAGAGAAGGAGAGAGAGAGAGAGAGAGAGCGAGAGAAAGAGAGAAAGAGTGGGAGAGAGAGAGAGAGCAAGAGAAAGAGAAAGAAAGAGAGAGAGAGAGAAAGAGAAAGAGAAAGAGAAAGATAAAGATACATGTAGAGAGAGAGAGAGAGGGAAACTGTTAACATGAGTAATATCATAGATATACCATACCATTGTTGCATTCCCTTTCTCATACTCGCTTGCGGGATAATCGGTGTCTAGTTGGTGTGCGGGTGTGTTTTTCTGTGTTTATTTGTACGTGTGCGCGTGTGTGCTTTCGTGTTTGCGTGGTTTTGTGTGTCTGTGCTTCTGCGTTTCTGTGGTTCTGTGTTTCCGTTTTGCATATGTGTAGCTTTGCGCGCTTGCGTGTTTGCCTGTTTGCGTGCGTGCACGTTTGCGTCTTGTCGCTTTTGCGGTTTTGCCAGTTTGCGTGGTTGCGTGTTTGTGTGTTTGTGTGTTTCTGTTTGGGTGTGTGGGTGTGTGTTTCTGTGTGTGTTTGTGCGCGCGTGTGTTTGTATGTGTGTGTTTTTGAGTTTGTGGGTGGGTGGGTGTTTGTGTTTGTGTGTTTGCATGTTTGTGTGTTTCTGTGTTTTTGTATTGTGTGTTTGCGTGTGTGCGTGTTTGTGTGATGTGTGTTTTGACTTTGCTGTGTTTTGTGTGCGTGTGTGGTTTGCGTGTGTGTGTGTGTGTTGTGTATGTGGTTGTGTGTTTGTGTGTGTGTGCGCGTCTTCGCAGTTGTTTGTGTCTCTGTCTGTGTGTTTGTGTGTGTGTGTGTATCTGTGTTTGTGTGCGCGCGCGCGTCTTTGCAGCTGTTTGTGTCTCTGTCTGTGTGTTTGTGTGTGTGTGTGTGTTTTGTGATTGTGTGTGTGTGTATCTGTGTTTGTGTGTGTTTGTGTCTGTGTTTGTGTCTCTGTTTGTATTTGTGTTTGTGCCTGTTTCTGTGTGTGTGTGAGCGGTTCATGTGTGTGATGTGGTTGTGTGTGTGTGTCATGTTGTTTGTCTGTTTTGGTTGTGTGTGTGTGTGTGCGCGTCTGTGTTTGCATCTGTGGCTGTGTGTTTGTGTTTGTGTTTGTGACCCCTTTTTATTGTGGTTGCAAAGGCAAGACAACAGGAACACAGTTGCGCCATTTTGAGGGCCCCAAAAAACACGAGCCACCCATATGGAACAGACTCAAACTCGGTGAGGCTGGAAGCCGCTGGATACTGGTGAGTGCCTGGGCTGGAATGAAGCAAATGGATGTCCTTTGGGGAAGCCCCAAAATTTGCGTGGTTGTTATGTTTTAAACTTCTATTTGCCAAGATTATGCCGAATTGTCCCTTGTTGGTTTTAAAGGGAATCTATCACTACTGGATTTGTTTTTTTTGTTCCAGGGGGCTTAAGCAAATGGAAGTAAAACGTCTCCAAAAGAGGTACCTTGACAACAGCTCAACTGGATGTTTTCCTAGGGTTTGCTGGGTGGTTCAAAATCAATTTATCCTCATGCTACATGGCGGTGGTGTCCCTTGTGTTGTCCCCTATGGAAGAAACGGATTGCCCCCGCCCGTTTTGAACAGCTGCTGTTTTGGCTTGTTACTTTATTTTTGTTGCTAGCATCCAACCTGACCGAAGGTCCCTACAATGTGTCAGGTTTCAGGTTCGAGAGAAACCCAGGTGCTGGGTTCGTGGGTTAACTCACCTGATGGAACAGGTGTGAAGCTCACAAACACTTTACCGAAGGCGACTCCATGGCTAAAAGTAAAGAGTGGATCACAGATGTTTGGTAGTGATTGGGGGGGGATCATCATCATTCTAGGAGTACCCTACCCATTCCTGGTCTCCTTCTCAGAATTCGTTTCACGGGCAAAGCAGTTTTCTGACAAAGAGTGGGCGAAGCGAATGGGGAATCAAACCTTGGAATGTCCTTTTTCCGAATCGGAAGCGCAAAGGATCAAGCGGAGCTGTCCTCAAGCTGCAGTCACCTTCCGTCTCGGGTGAAGCCTGATGAACTGGGAAGGCGTGTTTCAGTGGGAACGCATTTTGGAGATATGTGGCTGAGTTTTAAGAGTTAGAACCTCAAAAGTGACTAGTGGACATGAATCCCGACCTGATTGATGTCCACCAAAGGGTCCCCCAAAATGAGCGGCTCGTCGTGTTTTGAGGCTATGGCTGCTTTCCAGGCAAGCCAAATGAAAGACCGTGGCGCCATTTTGGAGGTCCCCTGAAGCCACACCCAAACGGAGAATCATGGCCATGTGAGTATCTTTTTTGTGGGCCTTTCTTTGTTTGAGGGGCTTGTCTTAGTTGTGTGTTCTTTGCGGGTGTTTCTTTTGGTTGGTTTTCCAGGGGAACTCGATCGAACAGAACCCAGCCCCAAATTCTTGGGCGTCCTCGTTCCTTCGCGCCAGGCAGCTCTCGGTCCAGGAGTTGGTGATGCTTTGGACAGGCGGCTTCGCTTGCCTGCGGGGAAGCCCAGCGCGTCTCGCACGCGAGCCGGTGGCACCCGTGTAAAGGGAAGGTCCCGGTTGATTTCTGGGCGCAACTGAGGACTCTGTAGGCAGGTCATCACAATTGTGTTTTGTCACTGCTGCTTTAGCATCCTCAAGCTTTCACAACTCCAACTCAAAAGGAATCTGACAACTGGCAATGGGTTTCACCGAGTATCAAGTGGATCAATATACTTGCACCCCACATGTCATCACACATGTTGTCGGGTGGGGCACAATCCACATCCGGGTTGATAAAGGCTAAGGAACAGTCCGAGCCAGAAGTAGGTGCGGCCATGTAGATTCTGTTCATGTTGGGTAAAGCCTTTTACCAGGTTTGATTTTGACTCAGGTTCCTTTGGTGTCATAGCCGCCTGCGGCTTTGAGACGAGGTTAAAGCGTGGCTTTAAAAGAACGTCAACATGAGACCACTCAAGAAACATAGGTTTCACATCCCAAGTGGGCAACGGACTGGCACAGTTTTGAGGCTAGCAGGTTTTTGGAAGATTTCGGCCTGACCGGGAGGGTTTGACCTAAAATCCCGCTGAACTTGTTTAGCCTTTGAAGATTCACCAAATGGGGGCCATAATCCAGGATCTCTCATTTGGGTGGCGAAAGCTGAGGTATTGAAATGCCGACCTTTGGGCGTGCCAGTTATGTTGTGTCGAATTTAGGAGAAAGGTCCTCATTTAGAAGACCATCAGAGCACTTGTTTGAGTAGTTACCCTGCTATTTTCTGGATGAACTCCTGCCCCAGAAGACCATCAAGTACCATGAAGCGCTGGCATGTTTCTGTTTCCAACAAGTTTCAATCTTCTTTCAGCAACTTGCCCTGAATTCGACATCCCATTCAGCCTGGACACCTTGAACCGCGCTCAGGCTAAGAGCTGCCCGCCCCGCGCAAGAACGGGCGCGCGCGAGTGTTAGGTCGTGTCGTGATGCGACGTGGGAATCCTTGACGCGAATAGCCCCAGACCTCAATTTAAAAGCAACTACCAAGGGGTGGCATCGAGAAAAAGTTCCACTGCAATTGCGTTAGCGTGTCATGGAAATGATGGACCCCCGGTGGGGTGAGAGATGTCACTCGGAATCGGTTCGGGCTGGTTCCGTTGACTTGTCCTTTTACTTCAGTATCTCCAGCAAAAGGGTGCAAACTCAGGTGATGACTATCGCTACTTTGAGCCGGCCTTGCATGATTGAGCATGTGTTCTGAGCTGATGACCAAACCCACAGCCCATAATCCTTTTGTTCTGACTGCCCTTGCAGTGCTTGATGGTCGCGAGTATGATGTGCATCAGAGCGAACTGAGTCAATCTAGAACTCGATAGCAATCAGCCGGAGCGGGGAAAGAAGACCCTGTTCAGCTTGAGTCTAGTTCGACTTTGTGAAATGACTTAGGAGGCGTAACAAGTGGGATCTCCGGTAATCTTGAAATGCCACTACTCTTAGTGCTTCAGTTCCAGCCGGTCAATGCGCTGGTGACTTGAGTTCCTGCATTCCAGCACTGTTGTGGGGGCTAGGCTATTCTGTCCTCTTCGTAGTCCTTGTTTTGTCGGTCGCCATTGGTTCCCCTTTGAAGAACAACCAAAAAGAGCCCAGAAGTTTCTTGGCGGTTTAACTTCGGTTTTTAGGTTTTTAGGGCTTGATGGGCGGGTGTCCATTTAACCCACCTAAGAATTAAACAATTAGCAGGGAATCTGAGGACAGCCCAGTTTAGTTGAAACACTCGGCAGTCAGCTCTCGCAGGTCTGGAGGACAAGGCAAGAGTCCGGAGTGATGTGCCAGACTCGGCCAAGGGATCACGATAGGCTGACAGACATGTGTATGGATGGTGTCAGAATGAGACAGCAATACTTCAATGGGCCTTTTTTTTTGAGAGTACCCTTTTTGGGGTGGTGTTAAAGGGAAAACAATGAAACAGACACCGTGTTGTGGGTCCCCAGAAAAACACAGCCAAATTGGGCAATGCGTCTTATTGGTTGGTTTCTTTCGGACGCCATCCACAAGCAGGTTCTGTACATTGCTTTTTCACCAAATCGTCCAAGGATCAAGGCATCAATGGCAGGACCATGTGAAGATACTGGTTCATTCGGCGCTGAAATCTTAAGTGATGCCAAGTCCATTCTGACTCCCCTTCCACTTGATTCCCTTGATTCACCCTTGCTTTGCTACTTGGTGTCTTCTTTGAGGGGTACCCCCATTTTGGGTTTTGAAGGCAGACCAAAGGAACACGGCAAAAAACAAACACGAAATCCATTTTGGGGCCGAAAGATGGTGATCTCCTGAGGTCCGCGGAGTTTCTGGCGCGTGGGGAACTGCCGCCAGCACTGCCGCAGCAGCGGCTCCAACAGGCCGCCTCCGGGGGTTGCGGGTGGGCGGTAGACGTTTTCTTGGTGGCCCGAAGAGTGATCTGAATCCCCATATTAAATTGGACACACAGTCACACACACACACACACGCACACGCACACACGCACACACACACACACACACACACACACACACGCCAACAACACGAGGAAAGGAAATAGCACCAGGGGATTTAGGAATCCTGGGTCAATGTCAATGTGGTCGGACACACCATGGTCTCTTCTGATTTGCGGGGAGTGTTGACAAATTGCTGACCCCTTGACGAAACTTAGGGTTCTGAGATAGCAGATCCAGTACGTGAAAGGGGCATGACAGAACGTTCTCCGAGTGCTGGAAGTTGTCACGGATATTACCTCAAAACTGGTTGGACATGATTTGCGGAACTTTGTCCACAAGGTCCCCAATGATAATAAGTGGGGGTCCGCTTTGCAGAGATTCCTTAGGTGATGGCCTTAGGGTCTCATCTTAGTCCGAAAAAGAGTTACAGGCGTTTTGGTTCTTCGGTTGCTCTTCTCGTTTCACCGCCGTCATGTTGTAAGAGGTATGTTGAAAGTACAGACAATGCACAGAGTTGCAAGGGGTATTTTCGAGATGTGAGTGCATTGACGCCAAGAAAGCCGACCAGCGCCAACAAATTTCAGCCTCATGGATGCCAGCGTCAAAGAAGGACCCGTCTGAAGTTAAACAGCATGATTAAATGAAGTCTGGATATGTTGGCACACAAAACATGGAATCTGAATGGCCAGCTCAACAAAGCATAGGATCGATCGTCGTTGACTTGTCGGCAGCTCACGGTTTTTGTTTCGGAGCCCGTGTCTCGAGTGCCATTGGGCAAAGTGATCCCTTAAAAGGGTTTCCGAGCCGTTTCAACCTCCAAAAGTTGCAGTTTTGGTGGAAACCACCAGCAAATTCCTCAACTGTTGAACTCAGTTCCTGAGTTCCTGGACTTTATACTTGTTGGAAAGACCATTTGTAGTGGTGAATACAAAGTTTGGACTGTTTTTGGGCCATCCACTCTGAGTCAAAGGGGAACTCCAGTGACCCCTGCCTTAGGAGTTGGCCCAAGCCGGTCCATCCCCACAGCTTCAGGTGCTCCGGAGCGTGGCGGACCTGCAGGGAGATTGGCCCCTGGAGGCGCTGAGAGATTCCGCCGCAGTCTCCGAAAACCCGAAACCCGCAGTGTATGGGTGCGGAACAGGCATCCTAACTTTGGACCATCAAGTGCAACATCCTTTGCAGCTACCAACAGATAGCTCAAGGTAGGCAGTCCAAGAGTTCAACTGAATCGTGGCAAAATTTGTTGCTTCCCAAAACATGAACTGGCTGCGTGGGAGTTGTTGGTGTCCCCTGTTGGTTTTAAAGGGAATCGATTTCACTACTGGAAAGATGTTCTCATTTTTCCAGGGGGCGAAAAAGCAAATGCAAAGGTCCGATGAACATGGGATGACCATTAGGGAAACCACAAAAGATATATGATGTGTACTACATGGAAAAGGTTACCCATGGTCATTGTTTGGGGCAGGAATATTGATCTACCCTCATATGGGTGGATCTCCATAAATATGGGGAACCTCTTCTTGGTTGGTTTCCTGTTGCCTTTGCTATCCACCCCATTACCCTTGATCTGTGACAAGCAGATTTGCATGATGCAAGAAGTTGCGCAAAGACAGTCAGTGAATACAGTTGTCCTAATGTTTGGACTGGGGGTCCCTTCATACACCTGGCAACAAGGGGCTAAGCAATAGTGAGGCCAAGACGCATGTGCCCATGTAGAGGCGCTTGTTCTGCCTGGGTTTGCAGAAGGTTCACCTGACTCCTGTAGGCATAACGCAGGTCAGGTGTGCAAACATCGAGACTTAAGCCTTGTGTTGGTATCTCAGAATGTGAATCTGCAGAGGCTGGCTGCAATCGCAACAGTTCGCGCAGTCGAGGTGTCCAAAAGTTTGTCTAATAAGGGGTTATGGCTTACCAGTGGTCCACACGGGCCATGTTGGCAACCACGGGTAACCAAGGTCAGGTGACGCCTTGCTTGAGATGTTTGGTGTCGGTGCAGTAGAGCTGTTCACCCTGAGCGGCTTTGGCACAAACCTGCATTGCAGGAACATGCCTCCGGGGTCATTGTTTTGACTGGTTCTGGGGGTTATCAAAGTCAGAAACTGTTTCCCTTTAACCCACCACTTAGGGGTTGACTTTGATCATGGTAGAATAATGGGGCCAGTGCCTTGATTTCTCCAGATTGGCATGAGTGGTTCCCAGCCACCAATGCGCATCACTTGCCCACGGCAGCACGTGTATGTCCAAAAGCCAGTGTTAGGACTCACTTGGTTTATGCTTTTCAAGGATTCACATGTCAACGCGGGTACCCAATTGTGTGATTGTGCACATGGTATGGAAGAAAGCAAAATCACATGTAGACATGCATATATATATATATATATTATGCTAAGACCCCCTCCCAATACCAAGGTTTTTTGTTTATCTTGACTTGTGGGGCAAATGATGGATGCTTGGCAGGGCAGACGCAGAGGTGACTTCCAGCAACCAATTGGACAGTTTATGAACTCATTGCTGTTTTTTGTGAATAGTACCACAGCGACATGTATGTTTGTAACATATACAAGTGGTGGCCATGTTTGGCTCAAGTCACAAGTTCTCCAACCCAGCCTATGCGTTGATGCGATTCGTATTCCGAACTCTTGCACCAGCGTTGCAGGACAGCACAACCATTCCTGTTGGACACAAAGCTGTTTCCCTGCGATTCTCACTTCTGCCTCTAAAATCAGAGGTTTTGCGCAGTTGGTGTGTAGAAAGGTAGGTGGGGGTGGATGGCCGCTAGTTGGAAAGCGTCATATCTACTCTGCACTTCCTCTTTCTCCACATGACTGAAAGCGCTGCAACATAAGGTGTTGTTGGTGATTTGTCACCTTCTTTACGGTAGCAGGTGTTTCGTCTTTTGAGGATTGAAAAAGGCAATAAGTCCAAGACGGCTTATGTCGGCCTCAAGCATGGTTTTGATTGGAAACTTTGATGTTTACACTGGTTTCGAGCACACGTAGTAAAGCAACACAATCTGTTTTTGCAGCTTGAGCCTCATAAAATGCCAGTCAGGAACCTGAGGCCATCGGGGGGCTGATGTCCGTACCAATCATTTGGCCATACATTGCGCACCAAGCAACACCCCCAAATCCATGTCCAATTGATTCTCAAATGGTTGCTATACCAAGTATGTTGACCCAACCTCATTTGAGCACGTTTGGTGAAATCCTGCCTTCATGGTTGTGTGAACCAAACCAACATTTCTGAAATGCCAAAGTGGGCCACCCGCTTCATCACCTTTTACTGGGGTTTGAACCTGGGCCTACGCCCCTTCTCAGCCCAAAAACAGAACCTGAAGAAGATGAAAGCTCTGAAACTTGCACAGGCCCAAAAAGAACAAAACAGACAGAAAATCTGGAATGCAAAACCTTGTCCTTACTAGATTTTATTTAACATTTCAATTGACATTTAATTAAAGCAATGTTTGCAAGGGAGCTCATTTTCAAACTCTATTTTAAACCTAAGTTCTGCTTGGACTGGTTTCGTCATGAAAACAAATACCACTGTTGTCCAAGCCACATTTAATCTAAATACATTTGGGAATGAGCTCCTATTTGAAATGACCAATTGAATAACTGCCTTTAACTCCGATTTGGAAAGGGATTTTTTATTTAAATTCTAATGGAATATAGATTTTTACATGAACTATGGCCTTTCTAATTTCCATTCAAAATGTCAATTCAATTTGAAGCAACATCTTATTTGCAAAGGAATTCACATTTGATATTTCGGAGGTTCAAATCTACTGATTCTAGATTGATCTGCTCAGGATCCGCTTTGATGCCCTCGAGATACCAGGCCATTGTGGTTATTAGCCCTGGAATGGGATAGGATTGAATTTGCCCGAGCCAGTGGCTGTTCATTAAACAGATTGAAATTGTGCATTGAAATGGTCTCAATTTGTGTAGGCTCAGCATTCCCCGCAAATTTAGTTTATAAACTTCCAAGTCTGGTTTATAAACTCTAAACTCTTGGACTCCTGGCTGCTGGATGAGGGGGAGGGGGGGGGGTCCCTGCCTTCTTGAAGGGGCCAGCAACTCTTCAAGGGGAGGGGGGGGGGGGAAGAGTTCTAGCAAGCAACCACCCCTTCAAGAGTTGCCAGCGGACCCCCCCCCCCCCCCCCCCCCCCCCCCCCTCCCCCCTCTCCCCCCCCCCCTTCAAGAGCCACGGAACCCCCCCCCCCCCTCCTCCCCCTATAAACCAGACTTGGACGTTTATAAACTCCAACACTGAATTATAAATCAGTCAGTTATGTGATCTATACTCATCCAATGACACATAACGATGATCAAGCGCTTGTAGTCATGTGTTCTGATCTTTAGCAGGACCCCAACTCAACGCGACTTTCTCATTTTAAAGCAGGAAAACCTTGGTATTGGGGGGGGGGGTCCTACCATATATATATATGTATATGTAGTATTACACACATGGTACATTCAATCAAGGACATGTAGGTGTCCATGTGTTGAAGGAAGGGGCAAGTGACAGATCATGCAGGGGGTTGTGAGCATATATATATATATATACATATTTTTGTATGTATTTACATACGGGTCTGAATTTTAATTAGGGACCCTTTGGTGGACATCATGTAGGTGGGGATCCATGTCCACCAACCACTTTGGACGGGGTTTCCCTATTAAAATTCATAGCCATATAGGGGGGGGGGGTTCTCAAAATAGGGGACCCCTTTAAAGAAAATTATTTATTTGAAGCAGTTTTTAATTTGGATAAACACAGTATGTATAGATGTATATATATTTTTCTATAGATTTACATACATGCTATGTACAGTAGATGTGTCATGTGGATGTCGGGTCCCGAATCCTTCGAACCAAGGTGCGGCTCCTGTGGCGAGTGCTGCACTCCAGAAGCAGTGCTCAGGAGGCATCGGGGAGCAGTGCCCAAAAGGAAACGTAGGAAATCAACTCAAAAGCGGTTTATGACACAATGTAGACAAAGTGGTTGGTTTTATATGTGTTTATTCTGAAGAAAACTCCGAAGTGATGTCCACACTCAAAACTTGGCAAAGGAAAGATATCTCAATCCGCCGGCCGTGCCGGCGTGCTTTGTCTGTCTGCAATGTCTGTACTGTGTAATGTGCCACTGTTCCCTTGGCGCGGATTTTTGCATCGTCTGAATTGAACACACACCCCCTCCCCCCCACTCCCCCCTCCCCCCCACCCCGCAGGCTTGCTTCTGCCCTCTGCATTGCTCTCTCTTCGCTCGCGTCATTTCTTCGTGACCTTTCCTCTGGTTGTAGCTTTTCTTCCGTTGCCTATTTTCTCGCGTTGTTTTTGCTGCCGCTGCTCTTGCGTTGTCCGTTCCTCTGGCTGTTGCAATTCTTCTGCCCCTGTTCTTGTCTCCCTTCTGCTCTTGCCTTGTGTTTCTGCTCATGCCTGCGGCTGTTGTTTGGTCTTCCTGTTGGCGGATAAATAGTCAAACGTTCTGCTTCAAGTTGGGTTTCTCAAGAATTTTGCAGATGGTCAACACCACCTTTGAGCCTTCTTAGACGGAAAGACCCAGAACACCAACCACTTTTACTCAAATGGCGTCTGGCTTTTTAGTTGATTCAAGAAACCAACTCAAAAGGTGGCTTGGTTTTGGCAATCCCCATGTCCAGTTTGCGTCATTCCCTCTTAAAATGCGTATGGAATCGTTTACGGACCCCCTGGTTTGGACAATGGTCCTCCGTTTCAGGTTCCATTGGTGGAAGGGTATGGGTGTGTGTGTGTGTGTGTGTTTTTGTTGGTACCCTCACAGTGGGTCTGTTTCAAAGTTAAAAAAAGAAGGCAAACCCATATTCCGCACGCTTTTCTTCGATTCAACACATTGCATTTCCGGTGGCCATGTTCAAATGAGTTTCCTGGCATGATATTTGAACTTAAACATCAGGGCTCCTTCACTAGGAGCACATGTTTTTGCTGATGATTCTGCATACACACAGCAGAGCCATGAGCGATAAAGTTGGAGAAGATAACAATTGAAAAGATGTTCAAAAAAATAGAAATAGTAGAGCTTCAGAAACTACTGTAGAAGACAAGACTTCCAAAAGCGGATTCCCAGCTGGAAGTGTCCATCTTTCGAGCATTTGATCGGGGGTCTAACCCTGGCAACTGTTGAAACCTCTTAGGGATGTGCAAAGAATCAGGGCTCTTGCAAGAGCTGGCGATTCATGTGTTTTGTGTGTTGGCCGGCGTGCATGCCTGCTGGCGTGAGTGCTTGGTAAATCGACTACCTTACAGTAGCAGGTTGGGGTCAGATGTGTTCGCTTGGCAAGGTGAGCAAGCTGTGGGTGGCGGCACCCTACATGCTACAGGCCGGAAGACGTTCACAAGACGCGTTTTTTCAGCGATGTTGCGATGTGTTCCTTTTGCAGGTTATCCTGTGAGTCGCCATCATGTTGCCATCATTTCGCTGCCAGCTAAAAAATGTGCGGTCTATTGTGTACTCGAGTGTGGTCAGGGGGATAAATTCGCACCACGGATGGTCCGTGTTACTTGAGGGAGTCATGAACCTTGTGATGGGCTCCAAGCAATCAGGACAGAAGGTTTGTGTTTTGTTTCGGCGACCATGAATGTTGTGTGTTTGCTCTTCATTCCCCGCAAAGTGGACATGACGCTGGACTGCCCAGTCTTACTAGAGAAACCTTGACACCAGTGCATTCCAGTGACATCTACGGCAGTTCGAACTCAAGGCCGCTCAAAAGGGCAGAATGCTGAGCCTGATAGCGGCATGTTCACTATCCTTTGCTCATGGGCATTTTGGGGAATCTCTTAGGTGGTGTTTGGCGCAAGTTGCCTAGAATGACTGTGCTTGTGTTCGATGATGACCTACTTTTCTGAATAAACCTTGCATGTGCTCCCCTCCCCGAACCTTTTTGTCAGTCACTCCTGTTTGATTTGGATCATCCCTAGGTTGCGAAGGAGCAACAATCAATGCGCCTCTCGCTGAGAGTTGAAGACTGTTGGCAGGACATGTCCTCCGAGGCTGGCGGAATGACTGCAGAGACTTGTCAGGCTTGATAGGAGTCAACACGCCTGCTGCCTGAGAAAAGCCATGGTCATACCCGCGCATGAGCTTTCTAGGGCCATTGTTGAAGCTCGGCAATGTGCATAGGGTTTGAGGCATGTGTGACACGCTCACTTGGGGCACTGTAGCAAAGTGCCAGCTCGGCGCTGCCTATCTTCACAAACTTGGAAGCCCCAGGCCTATAGCTGGGCATGGCGAGTGAGTCTTTGAGTTGTGTGGTGCGCGAAAGGCTGACACAGTGCCAATCTCAGCGTGCTGGTTGTTTCAGTGGCCCACCAGTGTGACAGTAGCCATCGTGGAGCTTGGCGCGGTTTCGCTTGGAAGTGTCCACATGAATTGACCGGCGAGTTCTCACTTTCGGGGGCCATTCCAAGAGGCTGGGGGAGCGAATCCATTCCGGGCCTGGAATGTGGCCAGGTTGGCAGGGAAATATGGGAGCTCAGGGAGGGATTCGAGGGAAAATACGGGCTGAGGGATTGAAAGTTCCAGCTTGTGTTGGCAGATTATGAGGCGGCCCACGTGCAGTCATAGGAATGGTCCTTGTTGGCTCGGATATGAAACAAAGCGGATGGTATGAGACCGAGGCTCGTGTGCACGAGCTCTTCATTCCAGGCGTATCGTCTGAGGGGGTTCGGAGATCGCGGTGACAAAATAGGGGTACCCCCAAAATGGTGTTGTTCCTTTTGCTTCCCTTTGAACAAAGGTGAAAAGGGTACCCTCAAAGAAACACAAACCCAGATGGCTTCGTGTGCAAATGATTCTCCGGGGAACTGTTTTGTAGCCCGAAGCATGGCTCAGTAGGTCGTCATGCAGTGGTGCGCGAACGGGAGATAGCTCGAAGGGATCTGCCTCACGAAGATTTCTTTCGTTCGATAACATGGAACCTGTCTGAGGTGGGATGCAGCTTCCCAGGTGTCCCACGAAGTAGTGGAATGAGATGAGAAACATTCCACATGTCCAAGCGTCCCAAGAGCACCTTCCGCGTCAAACAAAAAACAAGCGCCATGGACTCCGACCGAGCAACGGACATTGTGAAAAGCAGACAAGTTCCTCCCCAGAGCGGGACAGGTGAACATCCTGAATGGGAGAACATGGGGCCACCCCCTTTTGTCTCTGGGGAACCCACCCTTGTCCTTGATTTGCCAAAGGAATCGTGGCTTCGCCTGGCACCCTCTGCCGAAGCTTGCAGCGGGCTTTGCTGTGCAGCACCTGTCAGGCTGGACTGGACGTGGGACATGGTGGATCTTTTTTCCTTTTCGGGCCTCCAGTTTTGGCCATGGGTAAACCGCCCCCCCCCCATGTGGTTGAAATATCAAATCTGTTTGGTGGCTTTAGATGGTCATCACATGTATTTCGGACCTTTTGATCAGCCCCACATAAGAACCAAAGACTTCGCGAAGATTCCATCGTCCCCAATAGAAAATTTGGAATCCAACTCAACCTCAACTCGCGATTTCCTGTCCGACCCCAAGTCGTATTGGGGCCTTGGGAAATCCCCTAGAACCACTGCTGAGTCAGTACTAAATTAATACTACACTATATATAAAAATAAAAATATGCATGTACACATGTACATACCAGTTCAAAAAACAATATTGAACTAACACTCAACCAACACAATTCCGAAACAGGGCACTGATGTCCATTGCAAATATCTTGCTCGGAAACTGCCGATGTGATTGATGTTTGAGTGTCCAAAGGGGATGCAGAAGCGGACCTTCCCATTTTCCGGTCGATGTTGGGCTCCCTTCACTCAATGCCCGTGCTCGCTGAATTTTGCCGTGCCAATGCACCTATTGTCACATGCGAAGCTAGGGATCAACTTTGCTTATGGGGAAATGACTAAACTTCCTTTGAACATTATTTGTAGTTCAACTTGGTTTTAGACTGCCTGACGACCCAATTCTAATTGTTTGGACCATCCTAGTCACCTGATGTTGTTATGAGAAAAGCAAGTGGAACCCCCGCCATAGAGGTCCATACGTCCCATTGAGGCCGCTTTATTGCTGGTTCTCCTACATCCGACAACGGTCGCGATTGTGGATGGCTGCTTCATGGCAGTTTGGTTCCCATGTTCTGAAACCCTACATGAGAATCCAATTTGTTACGTCCCTTTTTGCAGATGCTCGTTTTCGGTTCCAAAGGGCCAAGCTCATCCAAGTGTTCGTGCAGGTGCCGGAGAGCGTGCCTGCCGCCATGTTCCTGGCAGTGTGTGCTGACGCACCAACCTCAGCCCGATGTTCAACCGGCCCTTCAGAATCCGCTTGTTTGAAGGTTCTGCGTGCGCCGATAGTGACTCACGCAAGGTATGATAGCACACATTTGGGAGACGTAACAATGCTGGACAAAGGCAGCGTGTGCCACTGCAGTGGAGTGGCCTCGCTTTCCCTTGAAATTGCTTATGCCCTCCAGACGTCGGCCACACCGCAACCACAAGCAAGTACCTACCGGGTCTTCCAAACCTTCGCCCCGAAGGCGTCGACAAGGATGGAGAGTGGGGCCAACCAACAGCCAACGTGCAAGTGAGAGTTGGCAGACTCAGAGGTCCCTCAAGGAGTCGGTAAGTGGGTAGCATCCTCAGCTTCAGCCCCACTCACACCCAGTTGTGTGAACAGTATGCTCCGCTTAAGTTCAAGTTAATCCATGGTGAAGACAAGAAGTCGCGGACCACAAAAACCGATCTTCCCCTTGCAATCCCAGAGCCTGCCTGTTAGGCTCTCAACGAGCTGCGCAACGCCGATCAGCTTCATGAAGTTCGCATCGGCGGTGCAGGCTGGCTAAGAGCCAACTTGCTAGCGATCAGCCAAGTCAGAGAAATGTTGACCCCAAAAACCTGTGGCTCAAACAAAAAACAGGAGGGGTTACCAAAGCGCGGGTGTTGGTCCATGTTTCCACCAAGGTTCCATGTTGGTATTCCGATTGTTTGAGCCACAGCCATATGAATCACACTCGACGTTCGGTTTGGGGTCACCACGGAGCAGTTGAGCGGTTCCGGTGGTACCGGGGAAATTGAACCGCTTGGATGGTCGAGCTAGGTCTTTTATTCTCCGAGCAACAAGCCGTTACTCCATACCCATTGCCTACCCCCCCCCCCTTCCCTCAGTTTATTCATATGGGGGTGTTCCCCTCCAAAGTGGTCTGATTCCGCTATCAATAAACTGGGGTTGATGACCACGCCAGTTCTTTGGCGAAACTAGGCACGCGACAACTAGATGTCCCAAAGCCTCTTGAAGACGCATTTCCCGATTCCTGATTTTTGGGAATGCCTCTTTGAGAACCTCCACCTCGATGTGAGGCGGAGTTGAAGTGCAGCGCATCCTGAAGGAGGAGATTCTGTCAAGCGGCTGTGGGTCAAAAATCGGTGCCCAAAATGGAAGCCTGGTAAATGGAACCAAGGACTAGAAACTGCGGTCCAGACCTGGTGGTTGAATTTTGACCCATACCCAATGTTCTGATTTTTTCCAGGGAGCTTAAGCAAATGGAACCTTGATTGCTGCTTTGATGGTGAACCAGCATGGTAAAGCCATTTCAATGTGCCTCTGCCGTGTTGGCTTTCAAAATGTGATTTTGAAGGTTGCGCAATGTGACCTTTGAGCGTTCGCCTTTGCGCAGGAATCCTGACATGGGTCATTAAAGATGAAAGGTATGCATATGTATACGATTTACTTCATATTATTATAATTGATAAATATTTGGAATTATTATGTATATATATATATAAATAATGAATATTATGTATTAGTCGGAAAAAAGGGGAAACAACAGATGTGTTGTGCTATTTAGATTAATTTAAAGGTAGCTTTATACGAAGATTTAAAAAAATGAGAACAATATATGTATGTATTTGGAAGGGAAATAGAAATTGTGATTGTTTTTAATGTATTTTGATGGGTGGATTGTAAATTATTTTTTGTTGTGATGTTTGAGTGGTAATGGGGTTGGATGGTTTTGGGATAGGTTTGGTATGGTGGAATGGGATTGGATTTGGGTTTGTTAATATATTTTGTTGATTTTTAATATTGTATGATAAATACTATATATTAATGAAATGATATATAATATAATATGTTTTTTAAAAAATTTAATAAAAAAATAATGATATATATAATATTTACTCTATAAAACGAAACCGTGAAACTTGCTCGTCGCATTTGCGCGCGTTTTTTTCGGACCGCTTTTCCGAAAAAAATCCCGGATATTTCGGAAATGGTCTGGGTTGCCCCTGGAAGACGTAACCGCTTTATATTTGCTACGGATCGTTTGCCCAAATTTGTCCGGGCTACCCCGGCATATGTGCGGAAAACATAGTGGCTGTTTTTTTTGTAGGGACTAATTTCCCGAAATATTCTAGATATTTCGGAAAAACGGTCCGGGAATCGCAGCCGCCCACCATTTTAGCGAAATATTCCAAATATTTCGGGGATTATTTTATTTCGGGAAATGTTATTGGCAAAAAGGTTTGGAATGCGATTATCGAAATATTCGGGATATTTTGGAAAAATGGTTCGGGCTTTGAACGAAGTCGTTGTGTCTTTTAGATTAAGAGTCGGGGCATATATCTGCTTGTTGGTAGAAATTTTGGCTGAAATCTTGGCCCATTTTCCGAGAGTTTGGCGATGCGAGAAGCTGTGAGTCGCGGCCGATTGTTACGACTAGTGATATTGTTTTTCCTAAGGCTTTGGGCGAAATTAGTTCGGCTTTTTTTGCACCCAGGATGTTTTTTGGTCGATCGCGTTTCAACTGCGTATGTGGATGGATCTGTTGAGGCCAACAGCCCGCGGATCCGTTCTCACCTTGCTCAGGCGACCACCTTTCACTGACTCTTTGGCGTGACCTTATCGCGGCCAGCCCGGCCCTCAGTGCGTCTCGCGACCTGTGTTGGAGAACGGCAGCATGAATTTCGCATGCGACGAATATACATTTTTTGATACATATGAGATGATAAAATATGTTGGTGCCTGGGTTGCAAAAAACACCTTGCCGGCGCGGGTTCTATAAGATTTGCTCTGTTCTTGGCACACCCACCACCGCATGGGCCTTGGCCCCTGAGAGCTCGGCCCGTTTTTGGCACCCGCCTCAAGTTACCCCTAATTACTGGTTTGGATTGGTGGTTTGGGGATTGAACCCCTGGATCATGTTGAAGTTGAATGGGAAACCACCCCCTAACCTGCACCAATCCAAACCGGGCCGGTAGCAACCCGGGTGCCCAGTCCAAAGAGGGCCGCCGAACACCTGCAACCACCTCCTGGCCGCGGGCCAGAATACAGCGTCGTGGGGGGCAAGGAGAACGGCAGGGCAGCGCCGAGACAAGCGCGTGACAAACCGTTTCCCACTGGCTCCCTGCACTGGGCAAGGGCGCGTGCAACTGGGGCACGCGCAGCCGAGAGCTCGCACGCGCGTTCTTGCAGCCCGTCTGCATCACGGCTCTCGGGCTCGGAGTCGGACGCGTGCATCAGAATTCGGCGCACTGCGCGCCGGAGGTGTGTCTCTTTTTGTCATTGTCTCTCTGTCGGTGTCTTTCTCTGTCTCTCTTTGTCTGTTGGTCTCTCTGTCTCTGGTATCTGTTTCTTTGTCTGTCTGTCTGTCTGTGTCTGTCTGTCTGTGTCTGTCTGTTTGTGCTGGTCTGTTTGTGTCTGTCTGTCTGTGTCTGTTTGTCTGTGTCTGTCTGTTTGTGTCTGTGTGTCTGTGTGTGTCTGTTTGTGTTTGTGTGTTTGTGTGTTTGTGTGTCTGTGTGTCTGTGTCTGTTTGTTTGTGTTTGTGTGTCTGTGTCTGTTTGTTTGTGTTTGTGTGTATGTGTGTCTGTGTGTTTGTGTGTTTGTGTGGTTGGTTGTTTTTGTTTTGTGTTTGTGTTTGTTTTTGTTTTTTATTTTTGTTTTTGTTTGTGGTTTTGTCTTTGTTTTTGTCTTTTTGGTTGTTTGTTTGTTTGTTTGTTGATTTTGATTATTTATTTTTTAATTGATATTGTATAGGTTAATTTGGATGAATTTATAAAATTTAATTGGTATTTATTTTGAGTTTATAAAATTTAGGGTTTATTTTTTTTTATGTTATATTATGTTTAGGTATGGGTAATAATTTCTATGTTATAAGATAGATATTGTTTTGGTTTGTCTTTTTTGAGGTTATTATGGGGGTTTGATTACTTTATATTGGGAGTATTTGGTTGTTTTTGTAGTAGTGCTTATATTTTATTATTGAAATATTTGATTTATAATTACAAGTTTTTGGGATATAATGGTATTTGTTTATATAAATTAATAAAAGATTTTGATTTAAAGGGTATAGACATGATTGTATTGTAAGGTATATGTTGGCATTTTATCGGGTTTTGTTCGGAATGAATTGTGATATGGATATTTTTTATTTATATATATTTCTTGGGGTAAATTATGCTATATTAGTATGTTGGGAATTATGTTTTTTGTGTATTATGATATATTTTAATTTGTTTATATATATATGTGGTTTGATTTTTTTGCAATTTTATAGGAAAATTTGAGGATATTTGTATTTTTGGTCGGCATGGATCCCATCCTTTGGATAAAATATTTGTTAAAGCTTATACATTATAAGAATTAGACACCGATATTGTAGCGAGGATTTAGTGTCGGAGTAAAGGGGTTATTAATACACATTTGAAGAATATTGTATTTGTTGTTGGCCAAGATTATTTATGAAGGAGAAAAAACGAGATAGATATTATTTAGCAAATAGGGTCATCGTATTGATTATATTGCAATTTCATAGTGTTACAAATCGAGAGTGCAAATATGCAGGGTCAATCTATGTTTTGGAGACGTTGATAATTGTTCCTGGCCAGGGGCCAATATGTGCCCAGACTCTGGAAAACAAGGGCTCTAGCAAAGCCAAGCCAAAAATTGGGCTAACCCCTTGCTTTGGCAAGGTCGTAAGTTGCTCTTTTGGAAGTCTTCACATATATATCTATAGTTATACAATTGTGCGGTGAAATTGAGCAGCAGTTCCATAATCAGCAGTTCCGTAGCAGCGGCCATGGACAGGCAGCTAAGGCGGCAGAGAAGAAAAAGAAGTGTAATATTTAAGAGTAAGGTTTAAAATATTATGTTTTAAATTGTGGAGGTTCGATTGTTTTAAGTTTGAATAATTTAGTAATAGAGGTTATTGATATATGTTATTGGGATATGAAGCTCGAAAATCTTTTGGTTGTTGCTTTGGTCTGGTTTTTGGATACATTATATGGGTTTATTTTAAGTGAAAGATTTATATAGGAATAAGAAATATTTTTTTTAGAGGAATGAAGTAGTTTATTTTCAAATTGGAATCGAAACGTGTTTTTTGTTTTTTTCCAAAGTATTTTTGGGTTTAGCTTTAAAAAAAGGGTGTTATAAAAGGATATTTCAGTGATAAGATGTAGGTTAATGACAAGTATATGATTCTTTAGGTTGATCGAAACCATATTAGTATGGCTTGTTATGGAACGAATATATTTATAAAGGATATTTTCGGATAGAAAAATAGTTTATTTACTCGTTTTACGAGAATTTGGCGATGTAAGAACCGATTGTTATCATTAGTGGTGTTCTTAATGTTTTGAACGAAATTAGTTCGGCTTTGTTTGTGTTTAGGATGTTTTTTGGTCGATGGTGTTTTCGTATACGTTGCAATAATGATTTTATGAAATTAATAATCCATGGGTATATTATTTTCTTATTTAGACGATCGTTATTCATTGACTAAATGTCCATACGTTAATATCGGGTACCTAAGACACACTATTATTTTGTGTATCGTAGTGCTTTAGGAAATATATTGAGGTATTGCTGAGAAGTTCCATCTACAATTCGTCTTTAGATATTGTGCCTCTAGAATTGGATCTCCAGTTCAATGCAATATATAATCTTTCGAAATGTTTTGCTTGGGCAGGGTCTAAGGCAAAGGCTCAAAATCACAGTCATTTAGTTTCTCGAAATATTCCGAAATCGTCGTTTGTTAAGGATTTCCTCGGTCTATCTATTTCTGTCTCTAGGAGTATAATCGTATATATCGATCTATAATTCTTAAATTGGAATATGGTTTTAGTTCATGCTCTAATTCTATTATTCTCCTGTCATAGGTTTCATCTCCCGTTAGTATTTATAATATTAGTAAAAATATTTTGTAAATTTTAGTAATATGGATGAATAAAAAGGTATAAATGGATATTGAGGTAATATAATATATATAAATGGTTTTTTGTTCTTCTTTTTTTAGATATGTTATTTTTTTTGTTTTAGTATTAGTTTTTGGATATTAATTAATTTTTATTAAATTATTTGTTTTTTTTATTAAAGGAAAGAAATTGTTAATTATGGTCGATTATTACGATTAGTAGTATAATTGTTTCTGCAAAAGGATTAGCAATCTATAATATAATAAGTAATTCAGCCCAAATCTTCAAATCGAGATACTCGAGGACATTACCCACAAAACAGAGTCGGGAAATAACATCCCAAACCAAACATACAAAAAAGGCCGAGAATCTCGATCCAAAAAATAACAAATCTTTGTAATTCAAGGAATGTCAATTCCACTAAATACAAACTAAGAGAAATAATCGAGAAAGACACCGCCATACATCAAAAGTACTCGAAACACTCATCAGAAGCAATAGATAAAGCCAAGCAAACCAGCTCATTATTTGTGCGGCCAAACACCATCTCCCAATGTCTTTCATGAAATAATTATATTTTTCATGTATTTAATATATATTTAATGTTAAAAAAATATTATAATGTTCTTTAATCTATTATTATTATTTTTAATTTGTTTATTTAATTGTTTTTTATATTGATTTTTATATTTCCTATGTGTTTTAAATTATTTATAAAAATTAAATTATATCCTTAATCGAATTATTAATTCTATAAATATTATAAAAAAATTATTATTCCCCATATATTTGTAAAATATCATTATTAGTTCATCAATATATATTTATCAATTTAATTATTTATAATTTAAATATTAATCAATTATATATATCGAAACATATTATATAAATAATTAATAAAAAATATATATATTTCGCCAAAATATATTATAATAATTATCAAACCCAATAATATTTAGAACACCATATGATATTAAAAATATATAATTTCAAATTCAAAAAATTAAAAATATCAACATACACCAATATAATTAAATGTCAATCTAAATCAATTCAAATTTAAATCAATTAAATTCAAAATTTAAAAGAGGGAAAATTATCAATAATACAAATATATAAATATATAATATATATATATAAAGCGGACGAAATATTTAATTTGGCCCTAATATTGTTTTAAAAATTATCGTTTTTGGGAGAGACCTTATCGTTTTATAATGTTTTCGGACTTTAGTAAATCCGGCTCCAAAATCGCAATTTTGTAGTATAAGTCTAGTACGCAAAATACACTTCCGTAGCTCCAGCTCGAAAATCGCAACTTTGTAGTACAAGTCTAGTACGCGAAGTACATTTCCGCAGCTCCAGCTCGAAAATCGCTAAATACACTACCGCATCCCCAGCTCGAAAATCGCAACTTTGTAATACAAATCTAATACGAGAAGTACACTTCCGCAGCTCCAGCTCAAAAATCGCAACTTTGTAGTGCAAGTCTAGTATATGAAGTACACTTCCGCAACTCCAGCTCGAAAATCGTAACTTTGTAATACAAGTCTAGTACGCGAAGTACACTTCCGCATCTCCAGCTCGAAAATCGCAACTTTGTAGTACAAATCTAGTACGCGAAGTAAACTTTTGCAGCTCCAGCTCGAAAATCGCAACTTTGTAATGCAAGTCTAATACGCGAAGCGTACTTCCGTATCTCCAGCTCGAAAATCGCAACTTTGTAGTACAAGTCTAGTACATGAAGTACACTTCCGTATCTAGTACGCGAAATACACTTCTGCAGCTCCAACTCGAAAATCGCAACCTCGTAGCAGAAGTCTAGTACGCGAAGTACATTCCGTAGCTCCAGCTCGAAAATCGCAACTTTGTAGCACAAGTCTAGTACGCGAAGTACACTTCCGCAGCTCCAGCTCGGAAGTCGCAACTTTGTAGCACACGTCTCGTACACGAAGTATATTTCCGCATCTCCAGCTCGAAAATCGCAACTTTGTATATCACAAGTCTACACTTTTGCAGCTCCAGCTCAAAAATCGCAACTTTGTAGTGCAAGTCTAGTACGCGAAGTGCACTTCCGCATCTCCAGCTCGAAAATCGCAACTTTGTAGTGCAAGTCTAGTACACAAAATACACTTCCGCAGCTCCAGCTCCAAAAATCGCAACTTTGTAGTACAAGTCTAGTACGCGAAGTACACTTCAACACTTCCGCAGCTCCAGCTCAAAAATCGCAACTTTGTAGTACAAGTCTAGTACGCCAAGTAAACTTCCGCAGCTCCAGCTCGAAAACCGCAACTTTGTAGTACAAGTCTAGTACGCAAAGCACACTTCCGCAGCTCGAAAACCGCAACTTTGTAGCGCACGTCTAGTACGCATCTCCAACTCGAAATCGCAACTTTGTAGCGCAAGTCTAGTACGCGAAGTACACTTCCGCAGCTCCAGCTCGAAAATCGCAACTTTGTAGTACAAGTCTAGTACACGAAGTACACTTCCGCAGCTCCAGCTGGAAAATCGCAACTTTGTAGTACAAGTCTAGTACGCGAAGTACACTTTCGCAGCTCCAGTTCGAAAATCGCAGCTTTGTAGTACAAGTCTAGTACGCGAAGTACGCTTCCGCATCTCCAGCTCGAAAATCGCAACTTTGTAGCGCACGTCTAGTACGCATCTCCAACTCGAAAACCGCAACTTTGTAGTGCAAGTCTAGTACGCGAAGTACACTTCCGCAGCTCCAGCTCGAAAATCGCAACTTTGTATTACAAGTCTAGCACACGAAGTACACTTCCGCAGCTCCAGCTCAAAAATCGCAACTTTGTAGTACAAGTCTAGTACGGGAAGTACACTTTCGCAGCTCCAGCTCGAAAATCGAAACTTTGTATATCACAAGTCTAGTACGCAAAGTACACTTCTGCATCTCCAGCTCGAAAATCGCAACTTTGTAGTGCAAGCCTAGTGCGCGAAGTACACTTCCGCATCTCCAGCTCGAAAATCGCAACTGTGTAGTGCAAGTCTAGTACGCGAAGTACACTTCCGCATCTCCAGCCTAAAAATCACAACTTTGTCGCGCAAGTCTAATACGCGAAGTACACTTCCGCAGCTCCAGCTCGAAAATCGCAACTTCTCAGTACAAGTGGCGTATTTACAAAGCACACCTTGGCAGCTCCAGCTCGAAAGTGGCGACTCGCCTTCTCGTTTTACGGTGGCCACTCCAGGGTCCCACCCTAACTAAGTTGCAACTGCAGGGGTTATTATAGAGCCGTGTGTTAGTTAAGGGTTATCGTTTTTGGGGGAGACCTTATCGTTTTCCATGGTTTTGGCATGTGTTATGCAAAAACGTACCCCGCCTTGATAAAGTGGTCTTCGTGTGTTTTGTCCGTGGCTCATATATTAAAAAGAATATATTATGTCCAATAATGGCCCATAGTAAGGCCAAGCAGCAAGACCAGGCAGCAAGACCAGACAACAAAGCAGGCAGGCCAAAGCAAGATAGGCAGGCAAGGCAGGCAGACAAATAGAGCTTGTCCACGTCATGGGCAGCCACTTTGCTTGCCGAATAATGCTTGGCATCAACGACCCACCTGCCATCAGGCATATTCACGATCCAATCGGGATTGCTTGTACTGGAGGAAAGTGAGTGGTGACGATGCTCAGCCTGACAAATGTATTTGTCTTGGCGGACAGTCGCCCTGAACTTGGGCTGACCCTGCAGTGGGCAGCTTCGAAGAGCAAACTAGAAGGCTACAAAAAAGCGAGTTCGACTTGGCAGTTGGCGTGTGACTGTGCCTGTTTCACGTCACTTCTGGCATTAGCATCTTTTTGAAATGCTGCAGCTTGATGAAGAGAAGTCCTCATTGAACCTCTCTCAAGTGAGAAGCCTCTTGCCAGTCTACTCTGTGTCCAGAAGCATGCCGATTGATTTCAAAATCACTTGACTTGGATGAAGCATCCTATGTGCAGGTCATGGCCCCGCTATGGACACAGACCACCTTGAGACTGAAACGAGTAGGCGGGTGCCTTGCTCCCAGGCTGGGCATGTCAAAGGATGCGACAGCTCCTGGCAGGCCAAGAATTCGAAGCGTTGGAATCGAGTCCCAATCCAAGAAGAAAAAAACTGCTGGAGGTACTGATCAACACTGGCTTTGTGGAACTTGGCGATCTCTTCCGCAAAGCCCTTGCGGAGCCTGAAGAGAGGCTGGACACATCTTCCAGCCCAGACTGACCAGCAGCCCATGCAAGTTCAAACATATTTCACGTCCTCAGCCAAGTCCCGCGCGCTGCTTCACCAAGATCTGGCTCTTTGTCAAATTCTAGGATTACTGGCGATGGCCTCAACAGCTCGGCTTCCCTCAAGGGTGGATTAGAGCCGAATCGGTGATTTAAGGGAGGGGTTCCCATGTACCCTCTGCAAGAGCAAGGGGTTCAATCCAAATCACCAACTAAGGGTTACCTGACGAGCAGCTGATGGCAAAGCGCCAAGTTGCATCAAGCACGCGAAAATTGAGCGCAGCACGCCACTGTCTCCACTTGCCTGTCCCGAATGTCTTTGAACAGCTCGTGGTCGAGGGCAAGGTCCTGAGCCCAAACCACATGGCCTGACGCGATCGCTATGGTTGGGGCCCGGCCACCGTAATCCGCTCCGTGGGAGTGAACTTGAGTGTCTTCCTGGCTCCGGGCCCTTGACTCAACCTATCTTGAAGCGTTTCTGTGCACCAGGGGCCGGGCTCCAACAGATTCACGGACTCTTCTGGCGCGTCCGGGAAGCGGCTGCGCCTAGATAAACAAACAAAAAGCGTGCATCACGCAGCATGCGGCATGAAAACAAGCACGGATAGTCAGAGTACTTTGAGAGACTCCATGAGCTCCAATACGGCGCTTTTTTGGGTTGGTTTCAAGAGAAGCCCAAAAAAGGAAAACCACCTCTCTTTTTCTTGGGCGGGGGGGTACCCTGAAACAAAGACACCACCCGCGTTCCACAGTTTGGTCCGAGGGATAAGTCTGGTCTGAGCCGCACGCACGCCCTTGCGCTCCCGTCTTGCCAGCGCGCGAATGTGCTGCTTGGCCTCCTGTGGGACACGGTGGCCGGGTCCGTTACGCTTGAAAATCTTTGGCCATGTCTGAACCAGCCTCCGTCTGCAATTGGCCAATCTCGGCCTGCCAACTCAGCCAGCTCCCCTTCACCTTCCACGACCTGTAGGACCTATTGAGTATGATAGCCCCTGATCGCCCCGTGTTTGACATGCAGATGTGGAGCATGAAACCGCACGTCGTCCAGTCAGTCCCTGTCCGGTCGCCTCCGTGGGAGTGCCAAGCAAGTCAAAAATGACGTTCAGCTGGTCTGTGCCTCAAAAACGACTGCCATCTGGCCATGGGTCAAAAGCCAAATCGTACCCCCAGTGAACATCCGATTCAATCCAACCACTAAACTAGGAAGCCTAAATCAACAACAACCGTTTTGACCACCATAGCCATCTGCAAGCGTCGCTTTTCTGGCAGAGCTGATCTCAGGCACGCGCTGCCACGCCTGCGGATGCTGCGTCCAGAAACCAAGCTGAACCTTTTGGGGGCCGTGACAAGAAATGGGCCAAAAACAAGGGAAACTAAAAAGTCAAAAGGATTCAAAGGGTCAACCTTGGGCAACTGAGACTATGGCAGCATCTGAACAGCTCAGCATTGCATCCAGCTCTGATTCATCCAAGGCACGTGTGAAATCTAGGGTCTTTTCGATGCTTCTTGTCCGGAGACAGCGGGTAGCAGGAAGAGCCGGGAAACAGCGGTCCACGGTCCTTGCCATGCTGCAATCCCAATCTTATTTGCAGGGGGAATTCCCAAGCGCATGCAAGCCGTCCTCATGATGAGTCCCTTCCTCAAAACCATTGCAGGCGACTTCATCTTCATCTCTCTCTCTCTCTCTCAGTTTCTGAGCTCATCGCCAGCATTTGCAGCAGCTCAGCGTAAATACACCCAACTGACCACATGTCAATCTGCTCATTGTAGTTATCCTGCGGAAAAATCAAAGTGAGAGGTTCCCTCGAAAAAGTGACTAGCACCTGCATCAGGATGAGCTCGGGGGCCCTGTACCAACCTCAACCCCACTCGATTCCAAGCCGCGTAAAGAAGATTTCAAGGGCGGATATCTGGGGCTATCCCCAACCATCATCTACCCGAGTTGTGATTTGATTCTGGAAGCGCACCTGGGGGCCAGGCGAGTGACAACATGCCTCGTCATGGTTCGCTTGGCTTTGGCCGTGTGCGGAACCACAGGCCCATTCACCTGGCCCCGGTAAAAAAGAAAAAAAAGAAAAACAACACGAGCGACCGCAGCTTTTCGCGCGACCGGCTTCCGCAGTTTCCGCGTGCCTCGGTGCTTTCTTCGCCACGAGGCGTGTTGGGCAAAGGCGCGTGTTGCACCTCGGTATGTCGGACAGGTTGTCCGTGGCCCAACTCTTTTGCACTGCAGGCGATGTTGCAACTGCGATTTGCAGTCTGTAAGCTTCCCGCAGAAGATACAGCTCGCGACAAGCCAAAGTCACAAATCTTCACAGAGCAGTCCTCACAGCATGTCAAAGATGGGATTGCAATCAGGACATGGACAAGCCTGGTTCACCAGGCAGTTTGCTGGTTTCAGGTCCTAAGCAGCAAACGCCAAGCAACCAAAGGTTGTTGTTATCTGGCAGATGTTAACGAGCAAATAAGGAATCCAATCATTCTGAGAAGCGAGCTCTGTGCCAAATGCCTGCTGAGTGTAGGTATTTCAGCCCTGAGTCCGAAGCTTCTCAGCCGCTCGGGTCCATTCGTCTTTGAGACAGCGACCCACAAGCAAGTTGTAGAGCAGCGTGTTGATGTGGAGCGGCGTGAGGACAACATCAGTCTTGATCAACTTCTTCATGTCCGAGTCACAGAGCCTGCAAAAGAAGCTGCCGCTGGCTGCGAATGCAGGGTCGGAGAAAACGACCAAAAAAAAAAAAACGCGCTTGAGCTTCTGGCTCCATAACTATGTACAGCTCATCAAAGCTTCTCATATGTGAAGGCCTTGACGCGCCCCCACCCACCCCACCCCCCACCCCCCACCCACCCTCCGCGGTTTTCTCGCTTTGCAAGACTCCAAAACTCCAAGACTCCGGGGTCAAGACTCAATGATGTCATAGATCTGCACGATGTGAGGATGACTGAGCCTGCACCAAAAAAAGCCACGCTGAAAAATGAGATCCGGAGCTGCACACAGCTGGATTGGCCTAGTCATGATGGCGGTTTCCCTGAGGATCCGCTTGCAGTCGACCAGGTCATCAAACATGTGTTTGACCTCGTACGATCTGAGGCCATCACAAGCCAGGGCTGTTGTTCTTGCAAAATAACGCAATTCCTTTCTATCACAAGCCCCATGACCCCGCCCCCCCCCGAGGCTATTGAGGTCGACTCTATTTTTGCCCACCAAAGAAAGGTACCCCTGCGACAAACAGTCGCAATCTCCCGAGCCGTGCGCCCGTTTGATAGCCACATTCTGGTCACGCTCCTTGTCATAGGCCTCACCTGTCAAAAGTCTCATCCAATAACATCAATCTCGCTCAACGACGCCGTGACGCCCTGCAAAAGAGACACATTGACATGTGTCAGGCAGTCTGAGCAGGTCACAAACACTTCCATAGGAGCCAGATCCTATGATGTTACGGACCTCGTAGCGCGACCTCAAACAAAATGCTTGCACTGAGCGGAAAACTGGGTTTAGGGTAGGTCAGGCCCCGGCGAGACATGCCACTGTCCTGCCCGAGGGATGACCGGCATTGTACAGGCAGTGTACCACTTGAGCCAATTCCGGATAAGGTACACTATCACGGGGGTTGATCAAAAGGTCCGATGAACATGGGATGACCATTGGGGAGTCCACCAAAAAGGATGACTTTCACCACTACATGGGAAAAAGTGTCCCATGCTCATCCTGGGGCCTTTAGCGGAATATTGATCAACCCCCACATGGCCCGCTCATGGCCATGAAAGGCCCATTGCTTGTCAAGATTCCACAAGCATTGAGGCATGCAGAGGAAACTAGAAGAGCTGGCCTCTTTTTCATCAACGCAGAGCACACTTTGCAATTTCTGCCGACCGCAAGAAAACTTGCCAGCATCTGCATCTGCATGTACAAACTGCGGTATCACTGCACCGATGAACAGAATTCAAGGGCATGCCGTGGTGTGCCTATGCACGCCCGGCTTTTGCGCCGTTGAACAGAATTTAAGAGCATGCCGTGGCGTGCCCATGCACGCCCGGCCTGTGCCTGTCAACGAACCAGCTCCACTGCTGCCTGAATACGAGGTGGCCTGACACAAGAGCAGTCACAAGCGTCTGTGCATCTTGATAATATTGTCCAACAATCTGGTGTGATGTTTTGAGATAGTCCTGCAAATCTCTGCAAACTTCGATTCCTTGGGAAAGTCAAACTTCGGGGATCCGAATCCCAACGGTGGGATCCCCAAAGTATGGAGCCATAAAGAAAAACCAAAGGAAACCGCCTACTGAGCAGTAAGCAAAAAGCTTGCCCTTTGGCCCGCCTGCCAGGACCTCCATTCTGGCAGGTGACACCTACCCACTGTCCTCATAGCACAAAAAAAAGCATTGGGAAACCGCTGAAATGGATGCAACGGGGGTTGATCAAAAGGTCCGATGAAAATGGCATGATGTTTGGGGAGACCACCAAAAAAGATGACTTTCAACTGGGAAGAGTTTCCCATGGTCATTTTGGGGCCAGCAATATTGATCAACTCCCAAATGGATGAGATTCTTGCCATCTGCCAGCATCCACTTCAGCTCGTGCCTGGGCCATGCATGCGGCTCAGGGACTTTAAGCAAGAAACAATTGGGCGCGACTTGGGCGGCGACATGATGGAGGTCTTGTTGTGCCAAGGTCCTGCTGCCGTAATCGCATAACCTGCGGCAGGACGGCAGATTTGTTGCTCGCTACTAATGTTGCCGGGTAAGCAGGTCGAGCCCGCGCGGCTGGCCAAGTCCTGGCACGGGAGCTTGAACTCGCTTGGACTGAGCTGGCCATGGGTCAAAATCCAAAATCTCGTACCCCCGGTCGTCCGATTCAATCTCCACTGTAGGTTCTAAAATGGGTGGTGCACCGAAAACCCCAAACTGGGATCAACCACAACGGTGTTGACCACCACAGCCATCTTAGCCGACTCACTGGAAGTGACTCCTTCATCGGCCACGCCAAGGGCGAGAGCCAGCTTGGCCCCCCAGCCAAGTCCTCAGCGCAGAGCTCGGGAGCTCGGGATGCACCGCATCGGAAGATCTGAGGCGGCTTCTACTGACTTCCACCATTCCATCGAAGCCAGAGCCTGTCGAATTCAGCAAACTTAGCTGACAAACAAACAGCTCGACCTTTTCCATTGGATTCTCCAACGTGGCTGGTGGTCGGCTTGCTACTGCTGCTGCTGCTGCTGCTGCTGCCGCTGCCGCTGCCGCTGCTGTTGTTCGTGCCTCTATGGCAAACCTTTGGTTCGGGATGTGGCTTCGTTTCTTTCCTTCAACTTGCCACATGAATGGTGCAGAATCAGCAGGATGTCTGTCCCGCCAGTTTCCGTCCGGTGGGGTTTCTGAATGTGCGTCAAATCCTGACATCTGGAGTCAAGCTTTGGTCAGATCCGTTTTGCGCTGTGACAGGAATCGGGAGGTTGGTCTTGCTTGCTCAGTAGGGAATGACCCAATTTTGGGGAATGAACCATGTGGGGATTCCCGAATCCCGGAAGCCATAGCTTGGACGTGTTTGTTTTTGTTTCTCAGGGTCATTTGGCCATGGGTCAAACTCCAAATCGTACCCCCAGTAAACGTCCGATTCAATCCAACCACTAAAACAGGAAGCCTAAAATGGGTGGTGAATTCACTGAAACCCCCCCCCCAAAATGGGATCTCCCAAAGCGGTTTTGACCACAGCGATATATTAATACATCAATCTATTGTGAACCTGTGAACCTTTGTATCTAAAATGGGATCTCAACCACAACGGTTTTGACCACCACCAGCCATTTGATTCCTCATTCCTCTGCCCATCGAACCGAGAGGCGCCAGAGACGCGCGAACGCGATCGATCCCAACCTCCGAGGCCGGACTGGAGGCTCTGCAAGCCTCCGACGTTTGTCACTGCTGCCTCGTCTTCTTTCTTTTGAGAATTGGTACCCCCCCACCCCCGTTGTGCGGGTGTTTTTAAAGGGAAACGTCTTTTGAGTTGGTACCCTCCCCTTTTACCTTCTCTAAAGGGAAACCAGCGACCGTTGTAAGTGCCATGTGTGTGTGTGTGTGTGACAAACTGTTTTTTTTGAGTTGGTACCCCCCCCCCCTGTTTTGCGCGTCTTTTTAACCAGCTTGATCTGGGAAGCCTGTGATTGGTCCGTCCGTTGTTTTCAAGATGCTGCCACCATTGTTTCAACAATCTCCTCTTGGTGTGAGTTCCATCGGGCTAGGTTCTACCAAAAGTGAATTTGCCAAAGGGAAACCAACGACCGTTGTAAGTGCCATGTGACAAACTCATCTTGTTTTGAGTTGGTACCCCCCCCCTTTTGCGGATTGTTGAAACGGGCAACCAAAGGCAACACCACCGTTTTGGGGGGGTCACCTAGAAAAAGACGGAGCCGCCCATCTGGCGCACACCACCCGCATCCCGCCTAGCAACGCGCCAGGTCCATCGCTCCCTCAAGTCAAATATCGCATGCGGGGGGCATGCGAAGGGATCCGAATGTCTGAGCAATGCACCAAATCTCAGCTTGGTGGCAGGCACAACCTTCAAATTCAAGTCTTTCTCTGGTTGAACATGCAAAATGGGTGGCTTTTTTTGGAGTTGGCAGCCCTTGTTTGGTGGTTGCAAAGGGAAACCAAAAAAGAAAGCACCCACTTTATCGACTCTCAACCCAACGTTTGCTGGAAGTTCTTTCCTTGGCTCGCTGCGGAAGGTCTTGGAGCGGGCTGCGGAAGGTGCGGGGAGGATCTCCCCCACAAAGTGTTCCAGCGATCTGCGCGATTCCGTCGAGAGCCAATGTGCGCAAAGGCGGGCACCATCCGTTGGTTGTGCTTCAACTTGCTGGTGTGGTAGGTAGGGATTTTTGAAAGGAATAAAGGAAACCACCAGTTGGATGGCTTCTCTTGGGGTCCAAATCCCACATTCCCTACTTATCGCGCCAGCAAGCTTCGGGCAGAGGTTCTCCAGATCTTAGCGCCTTGAAGAAAGGAAGAGGCCGCGTCCATACTGTCTCCAACCTCGATCTGTGCTTTTCTGCCGAACCTATTTCTCCTACCTGAACCACGAATGGCAGCACAACAACGCTAGCTTCAATCAATATTGTAAGGAAGCGACAAATCCAGGGAGCCTGAGGGGACCATGCTGCTTGAAGTGCTGCACGGACCAATCAGTTGGAAGAGGCTGATTCTTGCCTGAATCCGGCGGTCTGAACACTTTGGAGCAACCGGAAGGATTCCCATCCACACAGCACAAAGAGGGCACAAACAAGCTTAGACCATGACTCCTCCATCCCCGTCGCACCTGCGCATGTGACAACGGAATCCGCCTGTCCAAGCCAATTGCAGGGCTGTCCCCAAAACACCAGCGAAGTAATGTTGACCCCATATTGATCAACCCCAGTTTATTAGTAGGGGGTGTTCCTGTCTTGGCATGCGCTTTGTTGCGACCGGTGCAGCCACTTTCTGCCTGCCCGCTCAGAGCACCCGCTTTTCGGTGAAATGTTTGTCCTTCGACCAGCCAACCTTTCAGCCTCGGCAGCAGAAAATCGGGGAACCGGTTTTAGCCGGGCAAGGCGGTGACTCTTGCAGAGGCCAGGCAAGATCTACCTCCAAGTCAGGTCATTTCTTGCGCACAGGACAAGCTCATTTAGGCGAGGACATAAAACCTCGGAACTCTGGCTGGCACACCTTGCGACAGATACGTTCCGTGTCACACATGCAAAGCAGAAGCGACTGAGTCTCCGGCTTTCGTCTTCAAAGCCTACGCCAGACCGTTCCGGAGGCTTCGCAGACATCACCGCGCCAATCTTGACTCCCACTGGCAAACCTGGGTGCCACGGACCAGCTCGGCGGCGCCGTGGCGCTAAGGCCCGCGCTAAGGTTGAGGTACTTCGCTTGTGCGCGAGGTCCCACAATGAGTTCTGCCCGCCTCAGCTCCAAACCATGTCTTCAAGGAGGCGGGCGAAAGTGGCCAAGAGAGAGCGCGCCACTGAGCTCCCTTGCTGCTCCCAGTTTGTCTCAGCTTTGGAGATGCGGGGAGCCTCTGCGGCAAGGCTCGAAGGAGATGGAAAAGTACAAAACGTTCCAACTAGTTGCCCCACTTTCTGACTACCCGGTAGACTTAAAGGGGCGGGTGAAAAAAACATCCTCCAGGTCTGGAAAAAAAAAAAAAAGGAAACAACAACCTGGCCGCTTGCCTGCATAGAGGTCTCCAGGAGCAGGTCCAAGCCAGTGCCATCAGGTTGCCTCGACTTGAGTCACAAAGGTATTGAAATGGTCGTAATCCCAGAACCATAGAAAGAATTGAAAAGGCGGATATCCGCACCCATTTATGGGTGGCGTCACAAGCAACGGTATTCCCAGAACCACGTAAAGACTTGAAAAGGCTGATATCGGCACCCATTGGCTACAAACTCTCCCTTACCACCCTCCAGTTACCCACAATTTGATTGTGACTCGAGGACTTCGCCGACAGCAACTTGCACGCTTTGGAAACGAATTGTTTTAGCCTCCTGAGACTGGCGCGTATTTGATGGGCTCTCGCCCTCTTCGTGAAGCAATGCTTTGGACCTGCAGCACTTTTCAGACCCCTCCTCTTGCTGGTGTTCAGTAGGGAATGACCGAGTCGTGTTGGGAATGAACCGGTTGGGGAGTGCTTAAAGGAAATCCATCCGGGGATGGTTGCTCAACAGGATGGGGACTCCCTTAAAGGAAACCACCAGGTGGGTCATTCCATTTGGCCATGGTTCATCTGGGATAGGTGCACCACCCATTTTAGAACCTATTTTAGTGGGGATTGGTATGTTCAACGAGGGTACGATTTGGGTTTTGACCCCTGGCCATGTCTCATTCCCTGAGAACCAGCAGGTCCTTGACCAATCCCACGCTAAGAGCTCGGCAAGCGCAGCGAAGCTCCAACACCTAGCTCCCAACTTGGATGCGGCGGGGCTCGAGTCGTCATGATTTTGCTTCGACCCCGCCCCCCCCCCCTCCCCCCCCCAAAAAAAAAAGAAGAAGAAGAAGAAAGGAAAACAAGAAATGTTGCATCTGGGCTTTCCGGCTGGTGTAAAAAGACCAACCCCAAAAAGGGGTAGCCTCCAAAAACACACGCACACACACAACACTGGCTTGCGGGTTGGTCTTGATTTCCGTGTGATCTCGGTTGTCGAAAAGCCAGGCTCGAGTCATTTAGGCCGCCACTATCTTTGGCCACGCGTGTCCGCATGCTGGGCTGCCACCCACGAAGCCGTGCTCCCAACTTCGGCATGCCTCGGAATTTCGGTTTGGCCCAAGAAACCAAACGCTCGGGGGAAAAACGAAATGTGGGTCAAAAATAGGAACCCCCAAAATGGGTTGCCCCGGTAGATGGGTTACCAATGACTAAAACCTGCGGTCGTCTGGTGGTGTAGTTTTGACTACCAAACAGAAAAACAAGAGGCAGTCGCGTCAGTTGTCTACGCGTTTGGAGCCCAAAGCCCGATTCTCAGTCGTGGGCGCTTCTGGTACTCTACCTGCCAGTCGTCGAGCCTTGGACAAGCGATTTTTTTCAGTTGGATGGCCGGGCCAGGGCGCCTCGAAATTTGGGCGGTGCTGGAGGCTTTTGGAGGGTGCTGTTGCAGGGCGCCTGATTCACGGAGGATTTTACTGTGAAACTGCGCAGGATGTGTCTGTTGCAGGACTGTTGTGCAGGGTGCTGTTGTGTCGGTGGCTGGCACTGTGTGACTCGGAATTTGGGGATGAGCAAGCTGCCGGAGTGTTGCTGGCGAATGACAACGACCATTGCGAAGGCAGGCAGGTTGCTGTAGGTTGTTGGCGCAGCAAAAAGCCGAGCGCACAAGATCGTTTCTGTGTGGTTTGTAACTATGTCAGCATTTGCGGTTGCAGAGCCTGTCGCGAAGCACAAGTCTCGCTATTTGGGGTCTGAGCTCGTGTAAGTGCACTGCACCAATAGAATCCCCAGAATAATTTGCGGGGGCAGCGCAAAGGTTGTTACGACAAGCTCCGCTCACAGCCATTGGTTCTATGGTCGCTGACACTTGCGCTGATGCAAGCCGGTCCCTGGGGAACCCTGCTGGTTTGGGGAGGTTCATGAGCCTTCTGCGGAATTCCACCCATTGGATGCATTGCATGCATCTCGCGGGGCTCTAGCAAAAACCCGGCCAACATCCCTTGAAAGTTACGTTCAAAGTGGCATGCACCCCCGAACACGATGCTGAGAAGTTGACTGACAGTCACACCCGAAGCATTTGTTCACGTGCAAGCATTCGAACCCCAATGTATACAGCATGACATGCGATGTGGTTTGCGCCTTACTACAATGCTTCAATACATTTAATACGCAACGAAAAGGTTCATGATTGCGCTTCCGGATTTGTTTGGAAAAAATGCTGCAAGTTCGCTTTTTGCCTCCCCAAAAGCATCCTCAGGATCAGCACTGCAAGGTCCAGGCACGCTGTCTTTACCTGCAGCCCGATCGGGATTCTCGCGAGCTGAGTGAAATTTGATTCGGTCCCCTGAACTGCCCTTGGGGGATCAATACTCTTGAGAGACGGGTTCCTTTCCCAATTCGTGTGGTGAAAGTCATCCTTTTGGTGGTTTCCCTAGTGGTCATCCCATGAGGAGCTTTTGATTCACCACCACTCGACTGCCAAGGCCTGGAGCAATGAGACCAGCCGCATTGACGTGCAACTCGCCCGTACGCACTGCTCCAACCTAAGTGGCTCACTCCAGCGCCGGATTTTGGAAATCTGAGACGTGCGAAGGGAGTAGGGCACGGGCGCCAGCGTGTAGCTGATACTCCGTGGGGGAGACCTGTCAGCTTCATACAACTTCCGCAGGGCGGGATGCGGTTAGGCAGGAGAGGGGGACACAATGGGATAAGCGCGCGCCTCTCCTATGTTTTCCTCAAGACCAGCCCACCTGGCTGAAAGTCTCAAGTCAGGCGATGCTGTCATGCAAAATTCCACCACAATCAGATGTGGAGCTTGAATGTTGATCTGTTCGCTCTCTCAAGCTTGCCTAGAATTCCGCCGACACAACTCATTATGTGCCGGATTATTTTTCTTGTATGGCTTCAGCGGGTAGAGACAGCACTCGTGCCTTGCGGTATGTCTCTTTCATCAATTGCTCAACGCATGCCTATCCCTCCTAGATCGTTCGGTCTTGGGAATTGGGCCAGCTTCCAGACTTGATTTGTTTGTTTTCTCCGGTCTTCACAACAGCAAATACACCATGCTATGGATCTGTTGAGGGTTCTTTGTACCACTCTTTCTAGCGCTCTAAGATTCGGCATCATCTGGGTGAGCACGGCATCTATGCAAGCGGCGTCTCATGTTGTCTTCTATCCTTCGCACACCTGCCTGCGAAAATCACGGCTGTGAATAGATCCAAGCCAAATATAGACATTGTGCCACGCTTGTATGGAGTGCAAGTGGCATGCAGTCACAAGCTCAAGCTGGTGCCATGTTTTGTCAGGTGTCGAATTCCTTTTCAAGGGGCAGCCAACAGGAAGATCACTGACCCGAGGCAACATCACCACCACCACCACCAATCTCCCCCAAGCACCCGAGAGCAGGAGGGGTGCACAAAGTCTCTCCTTAACTACACAGGGCTCTGTTTCCCAGCGTCAAATTCGCCACCCCTTCAAAGCCATATGAGCCATGCAATACCAGCCATGAGAAGCACATGGATCCAAATGTCATAGACTTTCCTCCGAGCCTGTTCATCCTTTCATACATTTATAATATATATATATATATATCCTGCATTGCAAGCAGCCAGACCGGCTCTGTGTGTGACAAATCAGCCCGGCTCACCACTCGTCAGTTTCCGTATCCGGTCTAACATCCTCCTCGCGCAAAACTTTGCGATCTGTCTTTTTGGAGTTGGCGTCCGCTTGTTGCCGGTGCTAAAGGGAAACCAACAGGAAACCAACCATTTTGGGGGACTCCCTCCCAAAAAAAGGACACATCCGTGTTGTGTTAGCAGCATGTCAACTCTGATTCCCCCTAAAGTATGACGTCATGTCAAAGAGAGCAACCTCCAAAGAGGCGCTTGCAGCAGATGAACCTCATGAGGAGCCAATGTCTTCGCCAGGAAATTCACAGCGTGAAGGCAACAGATCTATGCCACTGTGGAATTCGCAGATGTGACAGATGTGGCCATGGGTCAAAATCCAAATCGTACCCCCAGTGAACATCCCAATCCCCCCCAAAACGGCATCCCATTGGTTTTCACCCACAGCCATGTAAGAAGAGGACTCGTGGCAGCCGTGTTCGGTCTGCTTGACCCACTGGCCTTGCAGGTCATTTGTTCAAAGCGGCTGAGTTGCCAGCCTCTCCGACCTCGCCGTCTGCCTGGCTGCCTCGAGATGTACGGAAACGGCGGAATCATCGCATGCATTTGCAGATCGCTCTGCATGAGGGATCAGAGCTTCGGGCAGGGCGGGTTTCGGCTTGGGGTTCAAGGTTTGGAGGCTGGCCCTTGCTTGACTTGACTTGGTTTGCTTTAGTCAGCACTTTAGTTGGCTTGGCTGCAAGACGTTTGCAGCTGCCAAAGAATGCGGCCTTGCTCTCTCCAACCATGGGAAATGGACTTTCCCTGTCAGCGTCTATGTTTCTTGGAGGCAAGAATGTCTCTAAGTAGTGCACAGAGTGGTCTCAGCTTGCCGATGGCAATTGTCACCACCGCGCCCACCTGATGAGTGAGCCCAACCATACACCAAGGCTGACATCAAGGAAGACTCCAAAAGGAAACATGTGTATGATTTTTAATAAGGGACCCTTTGGTGGACATCCTTTAGGTGGAGATTGATTCATGTCCACCAATCCCTTTTGAGGTAGTTCCCTGCTAATATCCATGGCCAAATAGAGAAAAGCATGGCAAATCCGGGAGAAGCTGCGGATTGCCCTAGCTCTTTGGTTTTGAGCCACACCCATGCGAGCCACGTCTCTTTGCTCAGCCCCCGGCCGCCAACAAGCGCGCAGCCGGCCTCGGCCTCCAAGGACGCGCCATGGCCGGCGCGAAGAGCCCAGCGTGCTGTGGCTTGGTTCTATGTCTTCACCTCGCATGGCTGGAATGCTCGCATTTTGAAAGGTGGAGGGGTGGTGAGGTTCAGAAGGCCAAAAATGAGATATATGGCTCACCCAATGGCAGCTGAAGGCAGCACGGAGTCGGAAAAAAGGCTCATGAATGCACTGCTGAAGATGTCTGTCTCAGCAGATTGCAGGGCGTTTGTGCGGCGCTTTTTCGGCGACGGGCGAGGAACGGCATGCTCCACATTTTCGGAGGTCCGAGCTGCTATCGGACGTCACCAGGCGCACGCTCGCGCGCTTGAGCGCTCAGTCCTCCATTCTATCATCATCCTCCATCATGGCCTGGTACCTGCGCGAGAAAGATGGCAGTCCCTCTCCATGTTTCTTCGCCAAGGTCGACACCCACGCTTCTCGTAAATATTGTAGTTCATGACCTCGCAGCCAATCAAAATATCCAGAACCCTTCCACATCTGCGCCGCCTTTTCAATCAAGTCCACATGTGTCAGCATCATTCTGCGACAGCAGTACCTGCACCGAGTTTGATTTAGCCAGCCTGCACAGCAACTCATGTGCCCGCCTGTTAAAGCCAAGCTCATCCAAAACCTGTCCCAAGTGCAATCAAATTCGGAGCAAATGTTCAGAGCTCCGTCCTCCTTCTCCGCGGCGGGCTTTGGCTTTGATTTGTTCTCTGGGTGTTCCCTGTCTTCCTTCTCCTGCTCCTCTGCTTTCAGCTGAAGCATTTGCAGATACTTCTCCCACCTGGGTGCATCTAACCAAGTCAAGCCATGTTATTTCCAGAGCATAGCTTAGAATTCACGCCTGTTTCCAATCAGCTTGCCACAGGAATAGCAGCCTCGCAGCATGAGCCAGAATCGCCATTTCCACCAGCAAAAAAGCCCCGGTAATTTCTCATGATCCGCCAACATGTCTTGGAATTGCAGGAATCTCGCTAAGTGCACGGCGAACTGGAATGATCATGGCTGCGGGGCTTTCTGTGCTCTTTGCAAGCTACATAAGATTCATAGAAGCAGCCTAAAATGCCAGCTCCGCACAGTTCAGAACGCAAATTCAGCTTGGCTGATTCGTGTTTGCACCCAAGGGCACCAACTGCAAGAAATCCGCAAAATCGGACCCTATGCTCCGCAGGTTCAAGAGAATCGTGCAACGGAACTCCAAGCAACAGGCGTTGTTTCTCCCATGCCTGCCAAACTGTTCTTCACATATGCATGTTGGTCCTGCCTGCCAGACAAGCTTTCAGCACTGGCCCGAGCGAATGCCTTTTTCTATCGCGGGCTGCTCATCTTACACGACCCTGTTGCAGAAAGTACAGAAGCGCCGGGTGAGCCCTGCTGTCCGATGTCCATCTTGCGCCAGCCCGGCGTCTACAAAGCATGTCGACCTTCTGGCAAGTTGAAATCTGCCATGGCTCAGCCAGCTCCGGCTGCCTGCCGATTTTGCAGGCGAATCATATGCACGAGCTTGCAAGAGAATGCCGGCTGCACAAGGCCCCAGTTGGCCGTCCTCCTTCTCCTTTTGCGCCTTCTTCTCTTTCTTCTTAGCCTTCTTTTCCTGTTTTCCCTCTACCCCCCACACAACATTATATGGTAGTTCCACGCAAGCAGGTAGAACAGCGGGAAGGCCTTCTTCTTAATCTTCTTTTCCTTCTTTTTGGCCTTTTTCTTTTTCTTTTTGCTGGAGGACGATGAGCTAGAGGATGACTCTCCAGCAGCTTTCCTGGCTTGGCAAGCAGGTAATACGGTAGCGGTACCAGCATCTGGTAAGTGGCTTTGTCAGCAACAGGCCGTCTGCAAGAAGTCGGTGCAGAATGAGCAGTGCAAAGCGGCAAATGGAGCGAGCTGTCCTCTTCAGGTATGCTTTCAGCGCTGCTTTCACCACATTTGCATCATGTCCTGCGAGCGCGGTGCTTCAAATGGACGACTAAAACTGCCCGTAGTGTCCTTGTGTCAATTTCTCTAGGTCTTGGCTACTAACCTCAGTACAAGAAGAGATAGCTCGCTCGCTCTGCAAAGTGATGTTAGCAAGGCGCTCGCATCGATACCGAACTCCCAAGGGTGCCGCAGGATTGTCCAGTGAAGGTTGCTCCTCCATGAGGGCGCATCACTTTCATTTGGGTATGTCGACAATAGAGAACCCCCCAAATGTTGCTTGTCAGGGCTGTTGGGAATGACCACTTCTGTGATACAACAGAAAGGGCTTCCCCAAGACTATTCTCTTCATATAAAGGGGGATTCCCTTGTATCACAGAAGTAGGGAGAAACCCCTAAACCAAGCCCGAAAGGGGCATGTTTGTTAAACACAACCACAACGTGTCAACCGGCCAACGTCCGAATCAACGGCAGTGTCCTCTACCAAACCGTATTGCTTCCCAGAGCCCCAGCACCTGAAAATGAGCTATTGCCCTCCTCTCTCACAAGAGAGCTGGGTACAGGTCAAAATTAAAGCACCAGGATATGGACCACAGGCTTTACTCATCGTTTCCATTCACCAGGGTGCCATTTGGCTGTGGCTCAAAAAACCGGTACCAAAATGGGTTGCCCTGGTAAGTGGAAACATGGACCAAAACTCGCGCAACCCCTCCTGTTTAATTTTGAGCCACCGCCATTTTGGGGATACCCTATTCTTGACCACCGCCAGCTATCGCCCTCTCTCACCAGCGCAAGCAGCGTGGGGCTGTGGCTCTCTGGCGCCGTGCCCCCGGGCCTGGGGCAAAAAGGCTTCGAAGGCCGCGATCAGATCGCCCATCGCCCGCTAAGACTTCGGCGCCGCACTTGGAGCATGTGGTCGCCTGGCCACAGAAAAACGCGGAAAAAAAGAAGTCCACCACACACAAACATGGCTGTGGGTCAAAACCAATGGTACCATTTTGGGGCTTTCGGCGCACCACCCATTTTAGAACCTATTTTGGCGGGGATTGAATCGGATGTTCACTGGGGGCGAACCGATTTGGCATTTGACCCACAGCCAGATACCAAACAGCCTGCCTGGATGGCTCCGATGCGGATGGGATCTGGTTGCGACTTTCCCGAACCCTTGCCGCGGCCGCTGTCTGCCTGAAGGCATCCCGGTGAGCCAACGAGTCGAAGGCTTCGGTGGGATCCAACGAGTCGATTCGGTCCTGGAGGTTTCCTGGGTCCTGGTCCTCTCCATCCTTTTGCCCCACGAACCTCATGTCCAAACCTCAGAAGGAATATGGTCGGCAAATAAAACCATTTTACATTGAGGCAGCTGCTGAATTTCCCTTCTTCCTCTTTGACTTCTACCACCTCCAGGCGAGAGAAGCCCCCGACTTCGCAGAACCATCCCGTGCCTTGACCCAAACAGTGTCGTCTTGTGACACCACATCCTCGGAAGCTGACAAATGTACTGTGGGTTTGTGGAATTTGTTTAAGGGACACCCAAAGAAACATGCGGTTTTCCTTGTGGTTTCCTGTTAAAATAAAAAAGGGTGCCCTCAAAAAAGACACACCCATATCTTATAGGCCCATCTGAGACGCGCGCTCCCACCGCATCAACACGCCCTGATGCAGATAATCGAGATATGTGGAGTAGGCCGTCCTGGTAATCAAGCAAAGGCATGACAATGACAGCCTGGATGGCAATGACGGTCAATCATCCACAAGCGTTGCCTAAAACCTCCCAAGGCAAACACGCGAGTCCTTATATCTCGATCCATCTCCAAGTCGTACAAAGGCACCGTAATCCTGCACCTGGCCAGTGGATGTGTCCGATTTCAGGGGACCCCCAAAACGGTAGGGTTCCTTTTGGTTTCCCCTTTCAGAAGTAAGGACATTCCCAAGCGCGCGCAAACAAGGCAGCTCCACCCTGGCGACCGTGCCCTTGTGAATGGAGAAGAGTTTGGGCATCTCCCTCCCAGTAGTCCGCGCCGGGCGATCCCTGACATCCCCAGATTAAAGCGACAGCTCTATGAGATGCCCTGCCTCTTGAACTCCCGGTTCAGGCCACCTCGGTCACGGCCTGCATGATACTGGCTGGTTTGGTTCACAACCCTTGGTAGTACGCGTTTAATTGCGGCCGGAATTGATCCAACAGTTGGATCAAGTGCGTGTTTGGTGGCAAAAATTGCAGCCCCCTTCTAAAAATGAACAGAACCAAAAAACAAAACAAAAAAACACTTGCCAAGAACAGTGAAGTTTATTGGCAGAGCATTTCAAGCACAGGCCTCGATCGTCATCTCTTCGATCATCTCTTCGGTCGTCCCTTCGGTCATCCCTTCGGTCACCTCTTCGATCATCTCTTCGATCATCTCTTCGGTCATCTCTTCGGTCATCTCTTCGGTCATCTCGCTGATGACGACTGCAGCGCTATTCGAGTCATTGAATCTGAACCACACATGGCCTGAACCTCTCTGGACGAAATGCACTCAAACAACTCTCTGCGAATGCCATGCCATTTTTCTTCCGAGCAGCTCCCGTCTTTCTCGCACTGGCGACGGACTTCGGCCACCTCAGGCAAAGTCACTGCAGCCTTTCGCTAAACTTCGAAGAGCTACCTCCGGCACCCAAGCCATCTTCGTCATCGCTTAACCTGACGCACGGAGCCTCTCTTCCGTTCTCTCAACACTTGCAAGCGTGGCACATCTGTGGGCGATGGGCTGGCACTCAAACCCATGGGCTGCTCGCCTCTCTCTCTGGTGTATATATATATATATATTATATTATATTATATATATATATATTATGATACCATGCAGGAATGAGCTGCTGAAAGTATGACATGCTCCGCGAGCTGTTCAACACGTTGAAAAAAACAAAACTTGAAAGTTGCTGCCGTATGTTTTTTTTTCTCGGTGATGTGGATGCTCCGCTGCTCCGCAAATCTTTCAACCTGTGCCAGACTGTGTCTGAATTACTTGGTCCAAATGTTCAGAGCCGCTCGCATGTTCAGCATGTCAGACACTCAGCGACTCCCAATGCACATTGATTGCGGCACCCTCCTGTCCACTAGCATGGAGCCTGCCTGAGAGGTCGTGGAACACCATCTTCCTTTAGAACGAACCCGCTGGTGGGTTCCATGTTAGTGTTGTGTACCCCATTTTCTTCAAGGCCATCAGCGGCGGCGGCGCCGCGCGGCGCCGGGACCTCCCAGGAATGCCAAGCCCGAATGGGAGTGGGTAAGACTCGGAGCCTGGTCGTGATTGCTGGAAGGATTGCGCGAACATGCTCGGCCTCGGTGACAAGCGGAAGAAACCAGCAGCACAGTCTGTGTGTGTGGGTGGGTGGTATATATGTGCGTGTGTGCGTGTGGGGGCGTGCTGTGCGCGTGCGCACATGCGTGCTCGTGTGGGTGTGGGTGTGGGTCTGTGTGTCTGTGCGGGATGTCTCCCCTGAGGGTTCGGGCCCAGCAGCAGGCGCAGGGGCAGCTCCGAACGCTGCACCAGCCGATGCCTGAGCACATCGGTGGCCAGCGTTCCGAAGACAAGACGGAAGTAGCAGGTATAGCAAACATAGGCATCCTTTTAGGGTAATAGATGGCCCTGGTAGATGATTAACCACCAGGTAAACCAGGAATCGCCATCTATGTTTCTGCCAAAACAACCAAAAAGGACGCCTATGGTAGCAACTCTTCAAGGTCGGCACCTGGCCAAAGAGACTCCCTGGAGCCCCGAAAGCACCGCCAGAAGCAGGGCCAACAGCACCGAAGAGGCCGCCGGATGCGCCGCTGCTCGCGCCGCTAGCACCGAAGATGCTGCCGCCGCTTGCCCCGGGCGCAGCACCGAAGATGCCACCGGCGGGCGCAGCACCGAAAATGTTGCCGCTGCCGCTGCTGGGTGCAGCACTTGCCTGGCCTGAACTTGAAGACGCCGAGAAGATTCCGCTCGCCGATGCTCCGAACCTTCACAGAGGGAAGGGATCCATCTATCTTCCCCCACCACTGCCAAGCCCAGCACTGGATCCCACCGATTGCAGCGCCTGTCCAACATCCGTTTCAATTGGCCGCAGTGCGAACAGGCGAACCGTGCCATTTCTCCCACAAGCGGCCTGTGTCTAGGATGGCCGCCGCCTATCAGAAGCAAGCTTCAGCATGTGTCTCAATGATGCCCGCACCAGCCTGAGCCTGCACAGCCTTTGGTGCAGCAAAGGTCCCCCTGCCTTGCCAAATTGCAAGAAATGATAATGCTCATGAGCAACTGTGAGTTGCTGGTGAAATGGTTTCGCCAGCACACTCCGAGTCGCCCACAGGGTTCAGGCAGCGTTCGAATACGAAAAAGCCTCGCCAGGGTCCCACTTCTGCAATACATATGTGGAGATCTGTCATCCAAACAATTGCTGGATGGCTTACCTTGAAGCCAACATTGAAACAGGCACCCTCCAACAAACCCACACACACACAATCGCTGGATGCTCGGCGGAAAGCCGGCCGTTCCAGTCTCTCTGCACGCCCAGCTTGGCCCCCGACTCCCGCGCGCACCTCTGCCAGGGGTCCGGCAATCTCAACGGCGGCCGCAACCGTCGGCGCTTGGCCGGCCTGGTCGCGGAGTGAGTCGCTGAGCAGTCGCTGGTGGTCGACGACCTTTTAATGTTGACCCCAGGTGAGTCGCAATCAAAACCCGGAATTAAAATGGTCTACCCAGAACCATGAACCATGTGAAGAATTGTGAAGGCGGCCGCAGCTATTTCTGGCTGAACCATGTGAAGAATTAAGAAGGCGGCCGCAACTATTTCTGGCTGAACCATGTGAAGAATTAAGAAGGCGGTCGCAACAAAATTTGGAGCGCAACACCTCCATATTCATAAGCCGGGGTTTATGAATCCGGGGTCAACATCACATGCGGCCTTTGCTTGAACAGGCCTATGTCAGCCCAATCAACCGACGTTCAGACTGAGATGGCACACTCCGAAGCCTTGCAGCTTCCTCCAGGTCGCTTGGAAGCTTTGGCCGTAGACGAGGCGCCTCACTCCACGTCTTGCTGAAAGCGACACAAAGCCAAGGTGGCTGCATTCAGCAGGTCATCTACCTCCTCCTCCTCAACCTCCACCTGCAAGTTGATAGCACCATCCAGGCTTCCGTGTTTTTTGGCCAGCCCCAAGGTGGACTTAAAAACCCGGTGGTGGATTTCGAAAGGAAACTTCCAGGTTGTCTTCATCTACCTCGGGGCCCGTCAAAAAAATTGGGCTGGCACCACCACCATTTGCGCGAGTCTTTTTTTGTGGGGCCCCGGCCTCCAGCGCCCGCTTCCTGAAGCAAGCAATCGGAGACAGTTCCACTTAAATCATCGAAGCATATTGCTACATCAGCTCCTCTTAAAGGATCGAAAAACGACGATCTGCTATTATATAATGTATTGATTGTTCTAATTAAAATATAGCAACAGCATAACACAAGCTGCGACTCGTGGCGAAGCGGCGCCTGGGCAGAGCTGCATCGCCTGCGGCAAATTTGTCTCTGGCTCAGAAAATTGATGTACCCCCATCTGGGAACCAACAGCCTGACTGATACCATCATACATGGGTCTGGCTCAAAAACTGAGGTACCCCCATTTGGGAACCCCAGTAAAAGGAAACAAGGACTCAAACCTGCGGTCCAGTCTTTTTTTTTGTTTAATCAGCCACACCCGGTTCACCAAACGTTGTCTACACAATAGCAACTTGCATTGCTGCCCCGATCCCGGGTGAAGTATGCTGAATGCGACGCCAGAAAAGAAACCTCCTGCCTGTCTTGGCGGCTGAGGCTCGCTTGCGCCTTGCAGAGATGAATGAAGCAACTGTTGACTCAACGTCCTGCATTGCCATGGCTATAGAAGTTAAGACCCTGACTCACTGCAAAACAAGGACGGTCAATGCAACAACAAACCAAAGCACGGCTGGCAAAATGCACAGCACTTTGAGAGTAGGCACGACTTCTTCCCTCCAGCTTTGTCCACCATCACTCCGCACAGCTTGGAATCATCTGCTCTGGGCAAAGTAATGGAAAAAATATCAGTCTCTGCTGGTCAGGTCGGTGTCCAAATATTGATTGACCTGTGCAGCACACCCTTGGCGCGTCAACAGTGTTCAAATGCTGAGGTGGCAAAAAGTGTTGGCTGTTCAAATGCTGAGGTGGCAAAAAGTGCTGGCCTTGCTACCTTCGCTTCTTCAGGTGAGCTCCCTGACCGACAGCTGCCTTGCTCTCTTCGCTGTGTAAAAGCCGTGGCGGCACCCGTAAGGATGTATGAAAACGGTGCACACTACTCTGCATCCAACAGAGTAAACTGCATGTCCGCAAGAATTGGCACCAAGCTCGATCTTTGGGCACGCACGCGCACATCTGGAGGTAGGTCTACTCGGCCATACAGCATGCGCACACAACTGCGCGATGACAGAGCATGCAATGCTTAAAAAAACGCACAGAACGCAGGCACAGGGAAGCATGCCTTGGCCTGGCTTACAAGGCATGCCAGTGCCAGCTCAACTTTGCAAGAATGAATGCTGCTCTGCTCCCTGCAACTTGCTGCAGGTCTTTCTGGCAATGGCACGCCGCCCAAAACAAGGAAGCTGCAAGCTCGAAGTGTCTGGCTCCCGCAAGAGTTGCGAAGCACCGTGGCCAGCCAGATGGGCCTAATGCCATTGACACAAAAAGAGACTCAAGTGGCCATGGGTCAAAACCGCGTACCGCCAGTGAACATCCCAATCCCCACTAGAATAGACTAAAATGGGTAGTGCACCTATCCCAAAATGGTACCATTGGTTTTGACCCACAGCCAGCAATGTCTGGCAGTCTGGCCTGAATGCTCGCATGAGAAGCTGGCCTGATTTTGAGCACGAGCTCAGGAGAACTGCTGACCCACCAATTTCTCGCTCAAAGACCAGAGCCTGCACAAAGGCGTGGCAACTGGAAACCTGGCCAGCTCCGGCCCTGCCTTTTAGATCTCTCATCATCACCAGCCTCTCCGCCAATCTCACTCTCTTTAAGAGTTCTAAAGCTGCCATACCTGACACAAGTGTAGAGTCCGTGTGAAAGAAGCTGTGTGTGTCAAGGCTCTCAAAGATTGTAGTGGGTTGCTCATTCTCGCTCGTGTGGCACATGTTGTATTCCCTCAGTGGCCATACTTACTCCGACCATTCAGCACTGCAGGTCACTGCAAAAAGCGGTCAGCGCTGGCATCCACATTCTCAACGGCATCTGCTCCACCTGCACCCCCGGTTCCAGACCTTGCGCAAACGAGCGCCCGGAATTCGGGGGCGCAAAGCTGTCGGTGCGGTGCAATCGGAATTGCGCTTCAAGTTCCAGACTCGCCGCCCCAGCTGAAGTAGACGCCTACAAGCAGAACCGTCTTCATCGTGAGGATGGGAAGATTGGAGTGACTAGTAAAATGGCCCAAGCTGTTCCCGCCTGACTGCGCATAGTTGTCATCCGCCACAACCTTTGCCAGTCGCTTTCCAGCCTCTTCTTCGCTGACGTACCTGAACCAACAGTCACGCTTGCAGTGTGCGCAAAACACACACGCTTCACAGGACGCACGCGTTGGTGACTCCTTTCTGCAAGATGGGAAACAAGAACCTGGGCATTCCATATCGGAGTGCTGGACCATTTTGGGGTCTGAAAAAGGACACGGGTTCCCAATCCCTGGCTTTTTGGCCTCAATTGGCTTCCAAAGGGCACATGACAATGCTCACAACATGAGGAAATGGGCAATGTGCCATGAAAGCACCGAGCCTGAAAACGGGATAGTGCTCTCTGAAGAGGGCGGTATCCGCAATGCAGCCTTGCAAGAGCCAGCAACATGCATCAACCCAATCAAAACATGTTGCTCGCAAGTCAGGTACGCCCAAAACTCAAAACCGGGCCTGGGTACAAGGATGAAAAGCACACCCCAGTACTTGCATGGTATCTCTTGTGCAGCTCCCTCATGAGCATCACGTCGCAAACCTGACAGAAAAAATGAAACAAAACGGCGCAACTCTCAGAACCACAGAACCACCGCTCATATGTTGTTTCGCACCACCGTTCGGAAACCCTGGTTTCTGATTCGATTCCCCAAAATAAATACCGACAAACGTTATGGTTTCAACCATGGTTTCAAGGTGCTGCCAAGGGATGTCGTCCATCCACAAATCACAAGCATCAAGCTGGTGCATTGCCAACAAGTCAAAAGCCTGTCGGAAAGAAGTGCAGGGGCAGGACTTGACAATGCATAACGCGGACATGTCAACCCTGGCCCACCCTGGCCATTCCAGCCTTGCTGTCCTTGTAGGCCTTTGCCCCGTTGAATCGACCGTTGTCAATCATAGTAACCTCACCACGAAACTGAACCGCGTTGCGGCATCAAGCTCGATCCTCTGGGGAACCCCCTTGTGGATTGAAAGATCAACACAACAAATGAGTGAAAGTGATGCGTCGACGCATAAGAGATGCATGTTTGGTGACCAGTCATCTGAGAAGCGCACCGGAGCTTTCATGCCTGCTTCCAGGCCTGCAGTCAGTCCAACCAACGGTTCTGCAACAGTCACATGCCATACTCTGCAAGAGTCTTGTTGAAACCGCGGCAAGCGTCCGCGGCAGTTTTCTGCGGAGACCCCGGCACGCGACGTCCTTGACGTCCACCCTGGTAACTGGACACACTAAAACCGCTTAGCCCTAGCTGTTCAATTTTGGGGCACACCCAATTGAATTTATCGGATTTGCATGCTGAAGATACGATGTCACTGAGCCGTCGGTCGTCCGACATCGGAGCATGTAGCCGTTTCAGCGGGTTGGACTGATACAAGGTAGGGGACCAAAACCAGGACCCGACCATCCAGCTGCCCACCTGCTGCAACGATAGAACGTCCTCCTCCCGTGTGAATTCCTGTAGATGCCCAGCTTCGCAGCTGAAAAGTCCTCTTGCATCCGTTCAAAAAGCTCCCTCGTGCCGAACAGATCCGCACTGGACAGCTTTCCTATTACAAAGCTCTTCTCGAGACACTCCTCGTGCTCAACCATCTTTCAGGCTGCTATCCAATGCACCTCGCATCTCTTCGGAGACTTTTTAAAAATCTGACTTTCAGGAAGCTGTCGCGAAGTTGGTGTTCACCATTATGAATTGGCAGGATTGAAAGCAGAACATCCAGGAATCCAAGATCTCAACGGACCCATGGTCACAGCTTCGTCGGACTTCCGCTTCAGGCTCGGGGCCCAAGAAACGCCGTCCATGTGCATTTGCAACCCGCCTGGATTGCTTTCACAGTCTCGAGATCCGTTTGCCCCTTGCGCACCATGGCCAAAGCAAAGGGTGCCTCACAAGCAATGCCTGTAGCCAATTCCGGATCCATGGCCACGACACCTGGTTTCCGGAAGTGCCCAGGTAGTCACAGTGGTGGGTGTACACATGTCGATGAGCTAAAAGGAGCTCAGCAGCGCTCGCTCGGGGCCAACAACTGCCGGGCTCAGCACGATCCAGCCATGCTCAAGGCAGGGGGTCAGATGGACTTATGATGACCTGGCCATCCACGGATGAGCGCCCGAAAAAGGCGACGGAACACGAATCCTCGGCGCCCGACACTGCACTCATTGCTAAGCTGAACGTTTGATCTTGAGGATTGCGTTCTGAACCCAAATGGCAGCAGTAGGAAAGGAACAAGTCCACGACACGAGCTCCACAACCCGAGTCAGGGCTTGGCAATCTCTCAGGAAGGCATGTTCACTCGCCTTCCAGGCGTCCGATGTCAGCCACCGGAGGGATCATGCCACCAACCTCGCACGTGCGACGGTGCGATGTTCTGACCAGCTACCAAATAATGAAGCCTCCGACATTGCCGCCATGATGCTCAAGTCACTCAAGGCAGCTCAAGCCGCTCAAGCCACTCAAGCAACCCAGGTAGCATGTTGCACGTGCGGTTGCCTCCTTGTCGTTGATGCTGGCTGTGACGGTCCCCAGGATGATGCAGCGTGCAGGCTTGACACTGCTCTTCTTGAGATCTGAGACCAGGCACACTTTGGCGTGTTCTGTGTCCCCTCACATGGCGTTTCAACCAATCCAAAGAGCTGGCTATCACTTGGTTGACGTTGGAAGGGGAGCAACAATTCTCAAATTTTAGCAGTTAAGTGGTTGGATTTCCCACTAAACAACAATGAGCAAAAATGCAAAATGTTTCCCAACAACAACCATGTTCATCCCCCACTGATAGTATTCGGCAACGATCAATCATCAGGGGGAAAGGCCGAGCCTTCGAGCAGAAGGTTGCAAAGCAGGAAGTGACCTGGTAGCAAGTGAAACGATCTGCTCATGGCAGGTCAAACACCGTGCTCCTAACCAAGACTGGTATCAGAATACTACAGCTGCCCCAGAGCAGCTGAAGACATACAGTTAGTGCATACGTGCAGGCGAATCAAAAAGCAGGAGTATCAGCAAAGAGTGCCACAGAGTGTATCACAATCCGCACAGACAAGCAGCTGTCAAAACCCTGCCTAGGTAGTTGGTGGCAAAGCTCAACTCGTGGCCATCAGCTGACCATCGAGGTCCACCGCCTAGCAATGCTTTGGAGCCGCTCACATGCCGAATGACTCCGACCTGGCCTGGAAATAATCCAGGAAAGAAAGCGCCCTGTCACATGTTCGGCGTTGAGACACGCGGCATGGAAGCATGGCAAAGCATGGCACATGGCCTCCTTGTGGGCATTCGGGAAATAGACAGCAGCGTTGCATACTAGGGCGTCCAGCCTAAGTTGCTGGTGGCTGCACGGTTGCCTGGGAAGCTGTCGTCTCAGGCAATGGCGGAATGTTCAACGCTCGGAAAGAAGCCACAAATTGGCGAACCTGCAATAATGCACGATGTTGGAACGCCCTCGCACACGCATACATAGAAAAACATGTTAAGGCATTTGATGCGGCCCTCGCGAAACCAAGAACCGGACGCTGCTGTTCGCTGCCAGGTCAAGGTGAAGCACGAGGTAGCTGTCCTGAATGATCGGAAGCTGACAAAGTTGTCAAAACTTTGTCAATGGCTTTGACGCCCTCTCACCTTTCGGACTAGACAGGGTTCCTCTGCCTGCCTTTTTAGGCGTGGTCTAGGATTTTCCCAGCTGAGTTCAAGGTTTGTGATTTTGGGGGTCGACTGCCGTCAGGTTTAGCAATCGAGTTGAGAGCTTTGGGCTTTGGTGGTTCAGCTGAGTTTGAGGCTTCGGATTTTAGGATGGGCTCAGGTGTTGTATGTTAGGAATCTGGGGGTTAGATATTTGATGTGAGCCACTGCTTCGACCTGCCACGTGTGCAAAGCAAATCGGCAGCGGCTCTGAGGTAAGTTTGCTTCCAGTAGCATTGCCATTGCGAAGTGCCCACATCGAAGGTCGGAACATTCGGAAAGTTGAGGTTTGCCCACATCTCCAACTTGCCAGTTAAAAAAGGCCTTGCCACGATTGAGGGTTCCAGAACAAGGGTTCCGATGCATGAAGGCAAACGAAAGAAAAATGGCCCCGTGTTTGAGACAGAGACAGAGGCCAAAACAGGAAGAAACGAGCCATGTGGAAATGCGACGTCGTCGCAAAGAGGGTTCCTGTCAAGAAACTCAAGATGGGTGTGTTGCAAGCGTGCACTTGGCAGGGTCCTTTGGAAAGTCATTCTCCTTTGCAATTGTCTCCGCCTGATGAAAGCGTGTAAGACAATCAAAGATACAGCCAGTCAAACATCAAATGTAGTGTCAGCCTTGATGAAATCCCGGCACGCCATGATCACTCGCCTGGCCACGCCGTTGAACTGACATCTTTCTTGGCTTTCATTCCAGGATAGCTGGGGCTAAAGCCATTCGCCACTCTTAGCGAGCTCTCTGGCGGCTGCAAGCCCCAGCCCTGCACGGCCAAATGGCTCCATGCATCAAGACAACAGCACGCTCGCACCTGAGGAGGCGCCCGTGATGACGACGGTCTTTTTGGTGGGCTGTGACCCAAACTTGGCGATTCACAAAATCTGACTGCGGACAGGAAGCGTAAAGAGCGAGAGAGCTGTGTCCCGGGCATCGAAAAAGGCTCTTCTTTGAGTCTTGGAGATAGACGCTTTGGCAAGCCGCTCTCTCCTGCCGGGACAAACGCAGCTTGATGCTTGCTGCTGCATGCTTCTGCAGTTCCTCCGGCTGCAGGCAGCAAGGGCGACCGCGCTTGTGCTGGCAGCAAGCAGCGCCTCGCCACACCGACATTGCTAAAGTCGAGCAGGCGTGCAGCACGGATGTATCACGACCAGCCTGCGAGTGCCCGGAGACCGCAGTCACAGGCTTGGAAGCCTTGACCTGTCACTCTGCGACAGCCACAGCTTCTGTCGCATCGCGCCGGACTGCAAAACTCAGAGTCTCAGCTGCCGGCATCCCAGCGTTGCAAAACTGGCCGCGTCTGGGACGCATGTGGCACCTCGCGTCTGCAGCGCCTTCTTTGGTGATCCGTTTTTCTCAACCGAGGCCGCCGCAGCGAACGCCAGAGCCATGGTCCGTCGGGACAGCTGCCAGGACTGTCCGCAAGCGACGGCGGCGACGCCAGAAACGGCGCAAAGGAAATCACTGCGATTCTCCGATCCCGAGCCTCAAGGCTCCCAGCTCCCAGCCCCCCCGCGCAACGCTGAGCCCAAAGAGCCGACAGCTCTGGCGGTTGTGTGCTTTACATGTGAGTCATAATCAAAACCCACCATCTGGCTGGGACTGCCCCTTACCTTCATCTACCGGGTTTTGATTGTGGCCCATGTGATCATGGTGCACTTGGCATTCAACATGAGAGCGGCTTGATCTCCGGGCACACGCGCGCACTGGAGCTAGGTCTACTCGGCTATAGAGCATGCGCACACAACTGCGCGATGACAGAGCATGCAATGCTTAAAAAAACAAAACGCTACGACGCAGGCACAGGGAAGCATCCCTTGAAGCCTGGCTTACAAGACATGCCAGTGCCAGCTCTGGCAACGGCACGCTGCCCAGAAACAAGGAAGCTGCAATCTCAAACTATCTGGCTTCACCCGCAAGAATTGCGAAGCACCGTGGCCAGCCAAATGGGCCTACCCATGGCGCAAAGGTGGTTGCGGCAGCTATCAGTGAGCACAAGATACTGTGTCTGCATCATCACCTTTTACACAAACGCCACAGAATCGAGCGGTGAGACAAACATAAAGCACAAGCACTGATCAGCAGTGCCATTAGCAACTCACCAAACAGTCTTGAGCAACTTGATCAGTCGCCTTGACGAATGCATCTACGTTTTCTGCATCCCATTGTGAGTGGCCTGCATCAGTGAGCAGCAACTCCGCGCTGCTCCCCACTGCTGCGGCAAGATCCTTCGCATTCGATACTGGACAAATGCAATCGCACCGGCCGTGGATGAGCTTCAGCGGAAAATTGAACAGTGGCGCTGAGTCTAACAGCTCAAATCCATCCGGCAAAAAGCCGCGCTCAGCCACATAATGCAGCGTCAGCAAGGCTTGTATATTAAACTTCCCGGGCTCCGACCAAGGCTTCTCAGGCGGATCTGCGTCCAGCAAGCACACGCCAGCTTCTGCTGGAGGTGGCAGCTCTGGATCGCTCTCCCGAAGCGCAAACAGCTTATTCTCCCACGCCCGCCACTTCGCCAGTGCTTCGGCTGGCTTCATAGACCTTGGAGCAAGTTTAAAAAAAAAGCTTTGCCCTGGGGTGCAGTTACCACCATTAAAACCATGGGGGTTCTTATAATCACCATTGTATACCTAAGGGTTGTCATCCTCCAAATTGGGTCAATTATTGTTTTGATGGGGATTGAACCCTAGGATTTGCGCAGGGTACAAATTGCTCCGTCTCTGATTAGCAACACGTTTGAAGGTTGCACGGACCTAGTTTGCGACACGGCATCTCACATCTCCCCTTCGCCCATCTACCCGCTACCTGCTCCAAATACCACGGCATGGTGGTTTTATGGGTCGTCGCTTTACAGTGACTTGTGGTGGTTCTATGCCAGCAAGAGGCTTATCTTCTCCCAGAGCGGCTCTCCGAAACGCCGCCGCCACGTCGCGCCCCGAGCGGAAAGTCTCCCCTTCTGGCAGCCACCCGGCGAAGCGCTTCCACTCAAACGGGGCCAAGGAACTCGCACCGAGTCCGGGGCCGCAAAAGTAATCCAGCTCCTCTGAGCGGAAGAGGAAGACCTAAGCCGAAGGGAAGCCGATGAAGAACCGTTTTGCGCTTTGTTTTTCTTCTTCTTCCTCTTCTTCTTCTTCTTCTTCTTCTCCTCCTCCTCCTTCTTCTTCTTCCCTTTTTTTTGGTGGGGGGAAGGGGGGCATATATTTGGGTTGAGCAAAAGCTCCGAAATACATGGGATGACCATGGGTTGGAAAGTCACTAGAAAGAGATGAGTCTCCATGATATGTCCCACATAGGGAAAAGTTACCCATGGTCATTTGGCTGTGGGTCAATATTAAACCACCAGGGGACCGCAGATTTTAGCCAAGTGTCCATTTACCAGGGCAAGCCATTTTGGGGCTGCCCTATGTTTGACCCACAGCCCCAGGGATCCGGATGCATTATACACCTGAACATTGCAACTTGTAAATGGTGGTGTCCTTTTATTTTGGTGGAAAAAGCCATGTTTCAAATGGGCAAAATGTATCTTTTAAGAAGCCCTGAGCCATTTGGGCTGAACGGAATATTGATCAACGCCCATAGACTCTCGTGACCAAGTCGCGGCTCGCAAGACAATGCCCAGCACGCGGTCCTGGAACTTGCTCGCATAGGCCAAAGCCAAGCAGGAGCCCCACGAGCCCCCCGTCACCACCCATCGATCAATCTCCTTGGCTGGAACTAGGACCCCAGCAGAAAAATGTATGCCTGGTTCGTGGAAAGCAAAGGGTGGGGGGCCCCAAAGAAACAAAAAATACAAAGGGGGAACTAATTCTGGGGAAGTCTCAAGGTGCGTCCTTAGGGCCTCCAAGTCATCCACGTGGTGCCAGGTGGTGTTGTTCTCCAGCTGCTCCGCCGCCGTGGTGGAACCCTCGCGCGTGCTTTTGCCGCACCCGCGCTGGTCGAAGAGCACGACGCGGTACTTCTCGGGGTCAAAGAGCTTGGCCATCTGCCTGGAGCAACCCGCGCCAGGGCCGCCATGCAAGAAGACCACCGGAAGCCCGTCGCGGCTTCCGTGCTCCTCGTAGTAGAGCTCAAAACCATCCCCAACGGGCAAAGTGCCTGTGTTCAGCAACACTCCTCCGCTGTACAGCCCCCTTCTCCCGCTCTTCCTTTCCGCCTGGTGCCTCTTCGGCTTCTTCAGCTTTCGGCGCTCCCGCACCGCCAGCGCTGTGGCACCTAGACCAAAACTGCTCCACGCCCGTGGCAAGGAGCTGCCCCCGAAGATGCCATGCGACGCCCCAAAGGACACCGGCGCAGGCGCAGGCGCGCCCTGGGGGCGCACAGAGGGGCGCCGGGCCAAGCCAGGAATACACGAGGATTCCATGCTGAGGCTCAAGCCAGTGCAAGCAATGCGTGCAAACGCAGAACGCGTGTGATGCTGCAATGTCTGGCAGGAAGGCACAGGAAAGTGGCCTTGAGCACGAGCTCAGGAGAACTGCTGACCCACCAATTTCTCGCTCAAAGACCAAAGCCTGCACAAAAGCTTTGTCTGGCTTAATATTGCCTGACCAACTCCCGGCCCCTGCCTTTTACATCTCTCATCGTCGCCTGCGTCTCCGCCGATCTCACTCTCTTTGAGAGTTCTAAAGCTGCCATACCTGACAAAAGGGTAAAGCCCGATACTTAAGCTGTCAAGGCTCTCAAAGATCGAAGTGGGTCAAAGGCTCATTCTGGCTCATTTGCCATATGTCCCACTCTCAGAAAGTCGGCCATCGTGCCCAGGTCACTGCAAAAAGCGGTCAGCGCTGGCATCCACATTCTCAATGGCATCTGCTCCACCCGCACCCCCGGTTCCAGACCTTGCGCAAACGAGCGCCCGGAATTTCGCAAAGCTGGCAGTGCGGTGCAATCGGAATTGCGCTTCAAGTTCCAGACTCGCCACCCCAGCTGAAGTAGACGCCTACAAGCAGAACCGTCTTCATCGTGAGGATGGGAAGATTGGAGTGACTAGTAAAATGGCCCAAGCTGTTCCCGCCTGACTGCGCATAGTTGTCATCCGCCACAACCTTTGCCAGTCGCTTTCCAGCCTCTTCTTCGCTGACGTACCTGGGGCAACAGCAGTCAAGCTTGCAATGCGCGCAGGACACACATACGAACCCACCACACACATTCCGCGTGATCAGGACGCACGCGTTGGTGACTCCTTTCTGCAAGATGGGAAACAAGAACCTGGGCATTCCGTATCGGAGTGCTGGAATGTGGGTCTGTCTTTTTTGGAGTTGCTACCCATTTTGCATGGGTTATAAAGGGAAACCAAAAGGACAACCGCTGCCATTTTGGGGTCTGAAAAAGGACACACGCTACGCTACCGTTGAGCGCTGAGATGCGACGGCAGAGCGATTCTTGGCAATGGCCACAAACCTTTCCGGCGCGGCAGCCGATTTTTTCCATTGTCTTTAAGTATCTTCCGCGGCAAGGGTGCTTTGTTAGACGCCATTTGGCTTCCACAGATCGCAACACCGTGAGATCGTGTCTCGAGTCTTGCACGACCGCGGCGCAGCCTTCAAGCGCGCCAAGACTTTGGCAGCTCCAGCTCACAGAAGGCGTACGCGCGGTTGACTCTCCAGCTCGCAAATCGCAACTTCTCAGTACAAGCGTAGTACGTGAAGAACCCTTTGCCAGCATCCCAGCGACGCGGTTGGGAGCCAAATCTTACGCGCAGCTTCCGCGGAGCTACGCATCTCCTGACCAGTTTTGCAAAACTATCCAACATGGTCAGCTCTGTGGTGCAAAGCTTTGGGCTTTAGATAAGCTGACTCATCTATGAGGACCGAACTAGAGAAGCAAACACTCAAACATCAAGAGCGCAATGACGTCATCGGTGTTAGTTTGTATCAACAGACCTTACGCGAGCTTACACGGCCCAAGGAAGCTTACGCGAGCAAGAAGCGGATCTACAATCTTCTTATGAGGGCTTTGGGCAAGCGAGCCTGAAAACAGGATAGTGCTCTCTGAAGAGGGCGGTATCCGCAATGCAGCCTCGCAAGAGCCAACATCAATATGCATAGAACCAGGTCAGGTCAAACACCCCAAAAAACCGCCAAGCCTGGGTACAAGGAGGAAAAGCATACCCCGGAACTCGCATGGTATCTCTTGTGCAGCTCCCTCATGAGCATCACGTCACACACCTGATAGACCACGGTGCAACTCGAACTGCACCACGGCTCGAACTGGTGCATAAACCGCGGGCTCAACAAGTGTCACAAACAGTGCCGGACTCGACAAATGTACTGATGACGCCGGACACGTCAACATGCCCAGACCCACAAAACGCCTCAAGACCCACCCTATTCCCAGAGCCCCTCATGGGCCCTGATCGTCAGCTTCAACTTCCATGACTTCCAGCCTTGCTGTCTTTGTAGGCCTTTGCCCCATTGAATCGACCATTGTCAATCATAGTAACCTCGCCACAAGACTCGGCAGCATTGCCGCAGTCGATCCTCCGAAAAACGTGAAGGAACACGCGAGTGACCGCAGACACAAGAGATGCTATTTTTCCTGTGACAAGTCATCTTGCCACGAATTTTAATAGGGAACCACCTCAAAAGTGATTGGTGCCACCTATATGATGTCCACCAAAGGGTCTCTTTTATTGACATTCATATCCATCTGAAGGCCGCGCTGGAGCTTTCATACCTTCTTCCATGCCTGCAGTCAATCAACAGTTGTGCGGCAGCCTTCCGTCGATGTCATGGCAAGTCTACAGTCAGTAAAAGCTCAAAAACCCACGCTATGGCCACCTGAACATTTGATCTTGAGGATTGCGTTCTGAACCCAAATGTCAACAGTAGGAAAGGAACAAGTCCATGACACAAGCTCCAAAACCCGAAATCAGAGCTTCGCAACCTCTCGAAAAAGGCATGGCTTCACTTGCCTTCCAGGCGCCCAATGTCAGCCACTGGAGGGATCATGCCACCAACCTCGCACATGCAACAGCGCAATGTGCTGAGTTGCAAAAGAATGCAACACGCATTGGAGTTACTCATGTCGCCATGATGTTCAAGTCACTCGAGGCCACTCAAACCTCAAGCCACCCAGGTCGCATGTTGTGTATGCCATTGCCTCCTTGTCGTTGATGCTGGCTGTGACGGTCCCGAGGATGATGCAGCGCGCAGGCTTGACACTGCTCTTCTTGAGATCTGAGACCGGGCATGTTTGGCGTGTTCTGCGTCTGATCCCCTTGAGGGGGGCATTTCAGTCGATCTCCCACTGATAGTATTCAGCAACGATCAATCAACATATCAGTCGATCAACAGAGCTGGCTATTACCTAATTTCAGTCGATCTACAGAGCTGGCTATCATCTCCCACTGATAGTATGCAGCAATGATCAATCAGTCGATCTACCAACATAGCAGTCGATCTACAGAGCTGGCTATCATCTCCCACTGATAGTATTCAGCAACGATCAATCAACATATCAGTCGATCTACAGAGCTGGCTATTACCTCATATCAGTCGATCTACAGAGCTGGCTATATCATCTCCCACTGATAGTATGCAGCAATGATCAATCAGTCGATCTACCAACATATCAGTCGATCTGCTGGCTATCATCTCCCACTGATAGTATTCAGCAACGATCAATCAGTCGATCTACCAACATATCAGTCGATCTACAGAGCTGGCTATCATCTCCCACTGATAGTACTCAGCAACGATCAATCAGTCGACCTACCAACATATCAGTCGATCTACAGAGCTGGCTATCATCTCCCACTGATAGTACTCAGCAACGATCACTCAGTCGATCTACCAACATATCAGTCGATCCACAGAGCTGGCTATCATCCCCCAAAGATTCCAAAACGATCCACCAAACCATCAGGTTTGGTTAAGCCGAGCCTTCGAGAAGAAGGTTGCAAAGCAGGAAGTGACCTGGTAGCCAATGAAACGGTCTGCTCGTGGCAGGTGAAACACCGCGCTCCTAACCAACAAGCAGCCGTCAAAACCCTGCCTAGGTAGTTGGTGGCAAAGCTCAACTCATGGCCATCCGCTGACCATCGAGGTCCACCGCCTCCCAATGCTTTGGAGCCGCTCAAATGCCGAATGACTCCGACCTGGCCTGGAAATAATCCAGGAAAGAAAGCGCCCTGTCACATGTTCGCGTTGAGACACGCGGCATGGAAGCATGGCAAAGCATGGCACATGGCCTCCTTGTGGGCATTCGGGAAATAGACAGCAGCGTTGCATACTAGGGCGTCCAGCCTAAGTTGCTGGTGGCTGCACGGTTGCCTATGAAGCTGTCGTCTCAGGCAATGGCGGAATGTTCAACGCTCGGAAAGAAGACACAAACTGGCGAACCTGCAATGAGACACAACATATTGGAACGTGTACACATACACCCACACGCACACACACACACACACACACACACACACACACACACACGGGGAAGAAACAAAAGAGTCAGGGCATTGGATGCGGCCGCCCTCAGTTGCGCAAACAAGACCGCTGGGCGCTGCTGTTCGCTGCCAGGTCAAGGTGAAGCACAAGGTAGCTGTCCTGCAGCTGCATAGGCTTTCATGTTTTCTGCGACAAAGTCCAACTCAGGGAAAAAAAGAGCCCGTCGCAAAGAGGGTTCCTGTCAAGAAACTCAAGATGGGTGTGTTGCAAGCGTGCACTTGGCAGGGTCCTTTGGAAAGTCATTCTCCTTTGCAATTGTCTCCGCCTGATGAAAGCGTCTACGACAATCAACCATGCAGCCAGTCAAACATAAAATGTAGTGTCAGCCTTGATGAAATCCCGGCACGCCATGATCACTCGCCTTGCCACGCCGTTGAACTGACATCTTTCTTAGCGTTCCTTCCAGGATAGCTTGGGCTCAAGCCATTCGCCACTCTTAGCGAGCTCTCTGGCGGCTGCAAGCCCCAGCCCTGCACGGCCAAAGGGCTCCATGCACCAAGACAACAGCACAAAAGCATAAACAAAGCTCGCTCCTGAGGAGGCACCCGTGATGACGACGGTCTTTTTGGTGGGCTGTGACCCAAACTTGGCTAACCACTCATGAGCAAGTGAGCATAAAGAGCGAGAGAGCTGGGTCCCGGGCATCGAAAAAGGCTCTTCTTTGAGTCTTGGAGATAGACGCTTTGGCAAGCCGTTCTCTCCTGCAGGGACACACGCAGCTTGATGCATGCTGCTGCATGCTTCTGCAGTTCCTCCGGCTGCAGGCAGCAAGGGCGACCGCGCTTGTGCTGGCAGCAAGCAGCGCCTCGGCACACTGACATTGCTAAAATCGAGCAGGCATGCAGCACGGATGTATCACGACCAGCCTGCGAGTGCCCGGAGACCGCAGTCACAGGCTTGGAAGCCTTGACCTGTCACTCTGCGACAGCCACAGCTTCTGTCGCATCGCGCCGGACTCCTCAGAGTCTCAGCTGCCGGCATCCCTGCGTTGCAGGACTGGCGTCTGCGATGCATGTGGCACCTTGCAGACGTTTCAAATGCTTTGGGTACAGGAAAGTCTACAGGAAAATGCTTCGCTCTTGTGATCCAGTTCAGCGTGAGATCGGCCTTGGGACGGCCTTCCTACAGGAAACGCCCCCCCCCCAAAAAAAAAAAAAAAAAAAACCTAAATCAGCTGTTTTCCCGTAGAACCTCCAACCCCAAGCCCTTTGAACGGTTGGTTTGATCCGTTTCTCTGAGAAAACCGAGGCCGCCGCAGCGAACGCCAGAGCCATGGGAGCTGAGCGCTTGCCTCGCCTCCCTAGCCTCCCTGGCGCCCCGCGTCTCACGCACGAGCCCAGAGGAGCCAAGCCAAGTCGCTCCCGAAATCTCCGAGCTCCAACTTGGTTGACGTTTGAAGAGCATAAAAAACTTCGATCTTAGCAGTTGAGTGGTTGAAATCCGCAGTTAAGTGCTTGGATTTCAACCAAGCCACAATAAGACAATAAGCAAGAATACGTAAAACTGTGTCCCAACAACAACCATGCCAAGAGCGCCTGCCGTGGCGCAGTCTCTAATTTTGTCCCTTCCATAGGTGTCCTTTTGGGAAAATGGATGGATTTTCCCCTGGTAGATGATTGCCCCCCAACCAAAGCCACCAAAGCAACCAGAAGGGACACCTATGGCACCTTCCTTTCTGCAGACTCTGCGAGACTCGGCTCTCCTGTCGGAGGCCCGGCTTGAATTTGCCCAACCTCTGGCCAAGTGAAGGCCACAATGGGTTGAGAAGCGAGGTTCTGCAGCTAGCCAGCCCTGAGAAACACGTCCCTTGAACTGAACAAGACTCCTGCAATAAAACGTTGCACAGGTTCGGTAGGTCGCAAGTGCTCCTATCGTGAGTTTGCCTTTGGTAGCGTTGGATCATGCTTGCCCTTGTGTACCCTTCCACTTTGGCAGAGGTACCGGAGGGGTCATTGGCCTCCCTTGACATTCTTGAGATGATCGTCACACTTCATTCTCTGAACCCAAAAATGCCAAGGGCCAAACGCCGTGGGCAATGACCTCCCGACGTCTCAAATGATCAGGATGCCTCTATGTACAAATTTGCGGCGCATGAATGTGAGAAAGCTCGTGTTGCAACCAGCACTTATGTTCCTTCTTCCTCAAATCATGCACCTGGTGAAACAGGCTATGTGGAAAAGAGATATTTGGCGAATCGCCAAATCTGGCTGATTAAAAGTGCACAAGAGAAACTCGGAATCTTGAGCCAAGCTTTCCGAGGCATTTCTGGATTCATGGCAGGCGGATCTTGTCCTCTCTTTCTTTTGGCTCTGTTGGATTCATGGCACTGGCTTTCCACCCTAGGGGTGTCTTTGTTGAGGGTACCTTTCTTTTGGTGTTGTTCTTTTCCAACCAAAACCACCATCCCCCAACAATTCTGTGGTCCCTTCCAACCCCAACCCAAAAAGAACCAAAAAGGCAAAGCCGAGAGAGACGGAGCCAGAGAGAAACCGAGCCACTCCAGCCATCTATCCATCTGGGTGTGGCTCGAAATTACACACCTGGGGCAAACCGCAGGTTTGAGTCTTTACTTCCATTCGCCAAATCTCGCCAAACTTTGGGTTTCCACATTTTTGTTGGCCATCTCTCGCCATCTCCCTCACTCCTTCTTCCTACCACTGCCAAATGTTGGGTGCCACATGTTTCGAGCCACATCTCTCGGGTCTATCTCTCACTCGCCCTCTCGCTTCGCTTCACCGCTTCTCACCGCTGCGTCAGCCACCGGAAGGCCCTTTGCAGGATGCCCATGGCCATCATCTGCACGGCGCGGCGATGCGCCCCCGCCAGCACCCCCCGCAGCAGGCCCTTGGCCTGGCTCGACACACCGCCGGGCACCAGCATGGCCAGGCGCAAGGCCGCGGAGTCCAGGTCCCCGCGGTACCTGGGACAAAGGGCCACCTTTTGGTGGAGGTCGTGGAAAAACCGAGGGTGTTGTGCTTGTTTGATGTTTGTCTTATTGTATTTGTTTGATTCTATTTGTTTGATTCTTCTTGGGGGGGAAATCATCTAAGGACCTTTTGTCAAGTTGACGGAAAAAGAGTGGGTCACACCAAACACACTCTGGGTCAATCGAGAAAGCCGTGCCCGAAAGGTCCAAAACGGAGCCAAAACGGGGTCGCAAAGCCATGATACGCGTACCACACGGAGAGGTTCGCGTGCGCGGCATAGGCTCCGCCCAAGAGTCCCGCCACCAGGCAACTGGTGCTGCCCAGGCGGGCTGTAAGCTGCGGCGCAATCACCACGGCGATGCCCAAGGGCATGGCGTGATCCCGAAGCGCGACGATCGCCACGCAGCAGGCGGGCGGAGGGGCCACGCGCACCAGGAACTCGGCGATGGGATTGGCGCTTTTGGACGGCGCGCATGCCACGGACACGCCTTTCAGCAGCAGGCAAATGGTGGATGCCATCACGCGCTCAGCGCCAATCAGGCGAAGCAGAACTTCACGCCGTGCTAGCACTTCCACAAGTCGCTGTTGGGAGACGACGGAGATGAGGTTCATGCAAAAGAACATGGACTTCTCGTTGGCGAAAGGATTCAAGGACTTGGCATTCAGAAGCCAAGCCATGGGACCCAGAATGCCCAGTACTGTCCCCTGCTCTAGCCGCCACACCCAATCCGTCACGGAGTCCACCATCAGCAGCAAGTAGAGCCACGCAGCCAGAAAGCAGCAAGCCCGAGCCGCCGCCCGGAACAAAAGGACTCCTCGCACGAAGGCCCTGACCGCAACACCAGCTGTCAGCAATTCATCCTGGCGCAATCAATCCCTCACAACTGGCTTCCCTTTCTGGGCATACTCTTTCAGAACAATGCCAACTGCGAATCGTGCCTCAGGGAAGTCCCTTTGCAGTTGATGGACAGTAACCTTAGTTGCAAGACAGAAAAAGCGTGTGCACTGGAAAACTTGCTGGTGCTCAGCAGGGAAGTTGGGAATGAACCCAAGGCCCCTTAAAGGAAACCACAAGGGGTGGTTTATGAGGCTCATTCCCTCATTCCCCGCCTATCCCAGCAAGAAAACTCGGTTGCTTGTCCCGAGGCGAGCGCGGAGAAAAGACTGTACAGCCCAAGCCTGAGTTGCCATTGGACTCGGAAAGCCGAATGGCTCAGCGTGCTGACAGCTCAGTCCCCTGCGAACCACAGGCCATTCGATTTAAGAAGTCCCAACCTTGCCAGCCTGAAAAGATTGCCACAAGCAAGCAAATGCCACGGGAACGTGACTATGACTGTAGAAGGGAAAGGGGGAAATCATCTCCCCTTTCAAAATGTAAGGCTTTTATGAACATCCAAAGCAAGTCTCGCTGAATCCAATGTGGCACCGGTGCACAAGTGTCTCAGCGTCGGGCTGTAGGACTCCGTAGCTGGACCCAGAGCACCAAGCACCTCAGAGACGAGTGCGAGCTGAAACGTGTGTCTGAAAATCGGCGACCGCCCAAAATGGTCGTCCAGTCGGTTTTACGCGAAGAAAAACGGGTACCAACTCCAAAAACACCGACCCATAATACTAGGGGTGTGCTCATTTGCATGCGATGCGGGCAATGCTTAGAGCGATTGGCCACCTCGTGAGTTTCGTTTCT